TTGTCAGTCTTTACAATATAGTGGAACTGTGTTACTCCTAGTATTTTTTTATGTTGTTGATTTTTTTGTTCATGATATATTATACCTATCCTTCATAAAAATAATAATATACATAAAGTGCTTTAAAGTTTGCAAAGTGCTTTATATATGAGGTAGGAGCAGCATCTACCAGAGGCCCCCCACCATGTGGGCTGGTCTACTTCTTTTCCTTAAAAGTTATTGAAACCATCCTCAAGACACAATTGTCTCAGAGAACTAAAGACTGGCCAGTGGAGTCACTTCCTAGTCAGCTGAGTACAGAAAGCTATAGGAATTCCAGCCTCTCTCTTGTTTGGCTGGCAGACCACTGTGGGCACCTCAGAAGCAAGGGCATCTCTATTTCTTTGTTGAATATCCTTCTCCTGCTATGACTTAGTAAATCTCTTTTTGTTAGAGTTATATGAGCTAGTAGTGACTCATTTCTTATACTATTGTACCTACCAGGGTACCTGCTAGAATGGAGCCCAGCCCATAACCATATACCTTTTTTTAACTAGACCTATCAATATATTGTTATAGGAAACTCCCATTAAGAAAATTCCCTCTACTGATGAAGATCAACAACTGTTCTGTAATTTAGAGAGCTGCCTGGAGGACTGAAATGTTACATGATTTGCACATCTTGTGCCAGAAGTTGTTTGTGTCCAAGGAAGGTCTTCCTGACTTTGGAGCCATCAGTGAAGACTTCCTGACTATTCTAGCTAGGCTTATTATTATATTTCTTTAGTCTTCAGCCCTTATCAGTATTTACAATACGATTTTTAGCACTTAATTATATGTTGTCTTTACTTAGATTTACCTATAAAACTAGTTTATAACTGAGACATTTATTGAGTACTTTATGCGAGGCATTGTGCTTCAGGGAGTACCCAAGAAACCGTCTCTGCCTTCCAAGGCTTACTTAAGCCTTGGGAGTTGGGGGGGGGAGGGCTGGATGAGATTACAGCATTTACACAGATAAGTAAATAAAAGATAATTTGAGTGGGAAAAAGAACAAATATTTGGGGGGAGGGAGATGAATCAAGAAATACTTCAAGAAGGATGTAGCACTTGATGAGACTTTTGAAGCAAACTAAAGATACTAAAAGGCACAGGTTAGTATAGAGTACATCTCAACCTTGGGAGATCATCTGTGTAGAGGCAGAGGTGAGATATGGAATGCTAAGTTGAGGAAACAGCCAGAAGACCAGATTTCTTGGAATGAAAGGGAATGATATGAAATATATTTAATTAAAAAGGTATGCCAAGATTTGTACTTCAAGATTGTCAAGAACTTTAAATGATAGTCTGAGGAGTTTAGTTTCTTCTGAAAGGATTAGGGAGCCACTGAAGATTTAAGCAGGAAAGTATGGCTAGACCTATGCCTTAGGAAGATTATTTTCATAGCTATGTGTAGAATATGTTAGACCAAAATAAAAGTGGAAGAAGGGAAGATAACTACTGCAGTAATCCAGACAAGGAATTATGAGAGTCTGATTAAGTGTGGTGGGTACTTCTATGAACAGAGAGATTTGCCCTCACCTACCTTCAAATGAGAAAGAAAGAAAAAACAAAACTCCTTTTACAGACATATATATTCAATCAAAATAAATTTCTACGTTGTCCACGTCCAAAAAAAATACTCAAGTCTTCACGTCTCCATCAGGAGGTGGGTGGTTCATCATTGTCTTGTTCTGAATTCAGTCTGTCAGAATTAGTTGTCTTTATGATATCAGTGTCTTTGTACAAATTGTTCTCCTAGTTCTGTTCTCTTTACTCTGCATCAGTTTATACAAGAGTTCCCAGGTTTCTCTTAAATCATCCCCTTCATCATTTCCTCACAGGACAGTAGTATTCTGTCTATTTTTATGACATAATTGGTTTAGCCAAATGTCAATTTATAGGCGTCCCCTCAGTTTCCAATTCTTTACCATCGGGGGTGGGGGGGAAGCTATACATATGTTTGTGTATCCTTAGTTAAAAGTTTGTTTTGCTGAGAACTAATCCATCCCTTAATCTATTATCTAATTCCCCTATCTTCGTTTTCCTTCCTATTTCTCTGTAGAGTGACATCTGTTTCTGTATGCAATTGTGCATATATGTATTCTTCCCTCCTATGACCTTTTCAGATAGTGAGGTTTAGGTCTCAGCTGCCTCCTTCACCACTTCTCTCTTGTTTGTATAGACCTTTACTTAGGCATCCCAGTGTTGTGAGATACTTTTCCCTTTCCTTCCTCTGCCTTTTTCTCTCTTTTTATTCTTATAAGATCACCAAGATATAATAGAAACACTCCTGAGCCTTCTAATTAGGCTCCTTTATGACTCCTAATGATGACAAGAGTTTAGAAGGACACATACATCTCATCATATTAAAATGGAATCCATTTATCCTTGTTTAGACCTTTCTGATTGTTCATTTTTACCTTTTTATGTTTTTCATGACTCCTATGCTTATTCTTCAAAGTTTCTACATGTATATGTATATTCAGTTGTGCGGTACAGTATGTGTATATACATACACGTATATATGCACATGTATGTGTGTGTGCATACACACATACACTGCACAATTGACCTGAACTTCATTCATGTGAAACTGAGACAGAATAGGATCTAATCTAGCTAGTAAGTGTCTGAGACCAAATCTGAACTCAGATTTTTCTAACTCCCTGCCCAGCACTTTTATCCAGGATATCGTCCCACCTAGCTGCCTTCAACTGTTAATCCAATGGCATTTTCACATATCTCATTCTTTTTGGTTTCTTTGCAACTTTTGAACATTATCCACTATAATGGACTGGGGAGTTTAGAATATGATATTCTAGAAGGCAAAGTATATAAAGTGGTGGCTGATAAAAATGTGTATGATTCTGACTCTGGCTTTTCAACACTTGAATTCTTTCTTTCTAGCTGCTTGCAGCATTTTTCCATTGACCTGGAAGCTCTGGATTTTTACTAAAATGTTCCTGTGAGTTCTCATTTGGGGTTTCAGGAGGTGACTTATCAATTCCGTTTCTGCTTTACCCTCTGGTTCTCATTGATCTGGATAGTTTTCTTTTGTGATATCTTGAAATATTTATGGGCTCTTTTTTCAGTCATACTGTCAGGTAGTCCAATGATTCTTAAATTAGCTTTCCTTTTGACTTTATTTTAATATTTCTTGTGTCATGGAGTCAATAGCTTCTATTTGGGCCATTCTGTTTTCAGAGAGTATGCTGCGTGGGCAAAGTTTTATAGCTTTTGTCAAGCTTTTTATTCTTCTTTCACTTTCTTCCATAGAAAGAAAAAAATCATGTCTTCCATTTCTTTTCCAATTTTTTCCTCTAGTGTTCTCATTTTATTTATAAAACATTTTCAAATTAATTTTTTAAACTCTTGCTTTATTTCTTCTAGGAATTCTGGTTGAATCTGTGCCCAAGCTGAGTTTTTCTTTGAGGTTTTGCTTGTAGCTCTTTGGTCTTCTTCTGGATTTGTGTCTTGAGTATCCCTATCAAATAATAGCTTTTTATAATGGGATTCTTTTTTTTTTTTTAAAGTTTGCTTATTCTTCCAGCCTACTTCCTGTCTAGATTTAATGTTAGAACTAGGCTCTGCACATTTCTGGAGGAAATACCTGGACTGGTCCTGCTGCTCCTTTCTTTGAATGTAAATGTATTATTCCAGGATCTCAGGGACAGTTTAAGCTGCTGACCAACAAGCATTCAGTTCTCCCATAGTGATCTGATCCAGGGAAAAGTCTGATCGCTGCCCCCCAGGTCCAAGCAACAAGCCTGTGGGCATGACTACTTTATTGTTTTAATAAACTACCATTCCTCTCAGCCACTGTTCATTAGCTGGAAAGTTCTGCTGGTTCAGTGAAAGAACTGTCAGCTTCCCTTTGGTCTGGGATTCCTGCCCTGGTTATTCCTCTGACTGAGTTAGAAGCTGGAACCTAGATCTCACTTCACCCCTAGTGCCTGAGCCACACAGATATTGCTTGCTTTTGAATTTGTAACTTGGTTGGTATACAGCCATGGTCAGGAAAAGCTTCTCACCCTGGAATGCAATAGGTCTCCTCAGTCCACCCCCAATTCTGTGACCAGGAACTGGGTATTGTCAATAGTGTTGTCAGTTGGCACTTGTTTTTGCACCCTACACAAGTTTAGGCCCCTCTATGCAACATCTAGGGCCTCTTCTTACCCTGGTACACAGCCTTTCCCTGTGCTGGAATCCTCAAGGTTAGCTCCTGTTGCCACTGCCCACAGACTTGTCTCCCTAATCTGTGGTGAGATGGAAAAATAATTCCCTGTAATTCTTGCCTCACTGGAGCTCTTGGGTTTCATAATCAGAATTCAATTTGGTATGTTTTCTAGATCTCTTAGAAGGAGTTTTTTGAGGGGGAGCTTGCTGTCATTCTTCCTGCTACTCTGTCATCTTGGCCCTGCCTCCCCCCAACTCCACTCTGACCATCCTGTGACACTCTACCAAGCCATAACTCTGCAGCCTCCCCCAGGGTTCTGCTCTTGTCTTTTTTCATTGAAGAATGTTAGGATGGGGTAAGCCTGTACAGAGACGAAAACCAAGGAGGAAAGAAGAGTTGATGGTGCAGGGGAGTTTTGAGTTAAGAAGAGAGGAGAGGAGGAGAGCTGATAAATGATTGCTTCTGCTTCTGTTGTTTTAGTATGATTCAACAGTCATATTTTGGTCCTACATATTACTGCATATATTTTTGTTAGTCCTTAATTTTATAAGCTGTGGGTGGTAGTTTTTATATTTTTGTAGAGGAAACCTAAAGACATGGTTAAAATAGAATAACAAAGATATCATGTATCACACGGAGATGCCTCTTTTCTAGAGAATGAACCATGCTGATACAGTTTTAGGGCTTATAACTAAATGCTAACAAAAAAAAAATATCGAAACAAACTTGATGTTACTATATGTAAGGTAGCAGCAATAGAACACAAACTTGATTTTACTTACTGTTGTTCCTTGTCCTATAGAAATGAGCTGCACAATTGAAAAAGCTCTTGCAGATGCTAAAGCACTAGTTGAACGATTAAGAGACCATGACAATGCAACAGAATCTCTGATTGAACAAACTACAGCTCTCAACAAGCGAGTAGAAGCAATGAAACAGGTTTGTATGTCTATTTTTATTACTTCGTTATAAAAGCAAACATTCATTTTTTTTAGATGTATCTTGAGCTGCATTGGTGTTTAGTTAGTACCTATTTGCATCTGTAATTCTCTTGATTTAGGAGAGAACAAACTACTTCTAGAGGGCCATATCCAGGGCCCTGTGAGCTAAGAATTAGGTTTTTTTATTTTTAAACACAATAAAACTTTATTCAAAAATGTAAAAATCATTTTAGCAGTCCTAGAACTTAAAAGTAATTTAATATTTTAAATTAAGATCTTAACTTTTAACATTAGTATATGTAGCTTTTCGCTACATGTTTATGTTTATATTTATGTTTAATTTTAACATATTTGGGTACAGCTAGTCTCACCTACTTTTTTCTTATGCTTCAGTTTCATATACTTTTTCTGCCAAATGAAGTTCGGTGAGTGACCTTCAAAGCTGTCTAGTCCAAACCCCTCATTTTACAGAAGAGGAAACTGAAATGTAGGGAGGTTAAATTAAATTTATATAGGCAGTCAGATTCAGAGGTATGTGAACTGAAATCCTCTGCCTCCAGAGTTTTTCTGCTGAACCTCCTATTATAATGTGTATGCTTTTATAATTTGAAGAGGTAATACATTTTGTCCCTGCTGATATACCTGTATAAAAGTACAAGAAATTGATATTATGGCCAAGAGTGACTAGATAATCCTTTTTAATAATAGTTTTGCATAGTAATGCATTTCTGTAGTCAATAAAAAATGCAGTTAGAAAAGTACTATCATAATTTTTCATTGTGGCAGTCCTTTCCAAGACGTGGGCTCTTTAGAACTACTGACATTAGAGCAGGATGCACTTAAAATGTTAAAAATGCACGTGCACATTTTGTCATCTTTAAAATAGGATATTTACAACTAGTAATATGCCAGAGGCATAGTATTTCCAGTGCTAGAAAGTTATTCAAGTACTCTGAGTACATACCCCAGGGTTCAGTCTTCTAATGTTTCCTAATAGTTATTCTTTTGTCCTGATGGAAGTTCTTTGCCTTCTCTTCTTCCATATAGATAAGAAACCAGCTTCTTACAGTAGGCTCATTTGTAAATTGTAAGGAATGTATTTTCCCATGAAAACATTGTAGTTAAATTCCCAGGCCAATCCATAAAATTTTGCTTAAAATCTATGGTACCTACAATCTCTAGTACTATAGAATAGAATATACCATGTATAACTGGGAAAAAGCACATGAAGTTCCAGGCTCAAATACCATAGACATATCATCCCCGTGTTAACACACACGCTCTCCCCTGCCCATGTGCTTGGCAGTGTGAGAGGGAAAGGAGCCCCAGTAAGACTTGGGAATATGGCTGTAGTGGGGTGGTTTACATTGGTGGGAGATTCCTAGCATATCCAGCTCCTCAACTCTGAAACTCCAAAATATAGGGCAGTACTTTCTTATCTGTTTTCTTCTGGGGGCCCTTAAATGTTGTTTAATGCACTTTGAATATTCTTGCTTTTAAGCAAATTCAATTCTTAGAATTCCAAAGTTACAGAATTTTTTTTCTTTTTTTAAATTTTGTTTTTATTTTTTCTGTGCTAAACTTTCTCCCTTTCTCTAACCCTCCCCCACCCATTGAAAAGGCAAGAAGTTGTTTTTGTTGTTGTTCAGCCATATCTGATTCTTCATGACCCCTTTTTGGGGTTTTCTTGGCAAAGATACTGGAGTGGTTTGCTATTCCCTTTTCCAGCTCATTTTACAAATAAGGAAACTGAGGTAAGCAGGGTTAGGTGACTTGCCCAGAGTTACACAGCTAATAAGTGTCTGAGGCCATATTTAAACTCAGGTTTTCCTGACTTCAGGCCCAGTGCTCTGTCCAATGCCCCATCTAGTTGCCCTCACAATACCAATTAAACATATGAAGTCATTCAAAACATATTTCCACACATTAGCCATGTTTGGGGCTAGGGAGGGGATTGGAATTAAAACAAGAAAAAATTAAAAAGAGGGAAAAAAAATGCTTCAGTCTACACTCTGAGTCTATCAGTTCTCTGTCTGTTAAGAGGGTATTATATTTCATCATGACTCCTCTGGAATTGTCATGGATCATTGCATTGATCAGAGTTGCTAAGTCTTTCATAGTTAATTATCTTTACAGTCTTGCTGTTTCTATTTTCCTGGTTCTACTCACTTCACTCTGCATTAGTTCATATAAGTCTTGGCAGGTTTTTCTGAAACTATCCCCTTTTTTTACAACACAATAATATTCCATCACATCCACATATCATAATTTGTTCAGCCATTCACCTATTAATGCACATCCCCTCAGTTTTCTAGTCTTTGCTATCACAAAAAGAGCAGCTTTAATATTTTTGTACATATGGGTACTTTTCCTTTTTCTTTGATCTCTTTGTGGTATAGACCTAGTAGCAGTATTTCTAGGTCAAAGAGTATGCACAGTTTATACTCTTTTGGGCATAGTTCCAAATTGTTCTTCAGAATGGTTGGACCAGTTTACAGTTCCACCAACAGTGTATTAGTGTATCTTTTTCCCATCTCTCCTCCAGCATTTGTCGTTTTCCTTTTCTTTCTTCTTAGCCAATGTGATGGGTGTGAGGTGGTATCTCCAAGTTGTTCTAATTTGCAGGTGATTTAGAGCATTTTTTCACATAACTATTGATAGCTTTAATTTCTTCCTCTGAAAACTGCCTGTTTGTATCCTTTGATTATGATTTAGGGAATGACTCTTAATTTTATAAATTTGACTCAGTTTCCTGGTTATAGAATTTTAAAAGGAGGAAATCCTTATTTTATAAAATCTCAAGTTTCTAACACTGGGATTTTCAGATTTTAATACTATGTAAAGTCAAATTCTGTACTGCTAAGGTATAATTTTGCCGCCCAGCTCCACTAACAGCAAATTCCCAAATGAGAGTTCTAGGAGCAGTTTCTAGAGAATTGGGGTCATTAGGCTAGGAAATTTTTCCTTTGTCCCCAGTAATCAAGGGAAATCACAGCAGGAATAGACTGATGTCATGGTTGGAAAAGTGCTGCAAAATACACAAGTAGTGAACTACAATCCCCAATATACTTTAGGGATAGGTCAAAAGTTTTCATTTCAAGGCTATAGGGACTGTTTTCTTGATTTTTCAATGTGAGTCGATAATAAAATATAACTTACTTTTCAGAAATTTACCATATAGCAAGAATACATAGAGAGTCATGTAGTATAGTTTCTAACAAACAAAATAATGGAACAAACTAACATTTACATTTGTTATTGTAATTATCTGAAACAGTTAATACATTTCCCTGTCTACTAGTGATGTAAATTCTGTACTGTAAACAGTTCAATGAACTGGATGTAAAAATGACTCATTAATTTTCCAAATGAATAATAAAAAGTATATGAAAAGAACTGAAAATATGTTGTCTCATTTGCATGTATCATAGAAATATTCACAGAGGGGCACTGTGCCATAGTGGATACAAGGCTGGCATTAATCTCTGAAAGACAAGGGTTCTATCTAGTTCCCTTCAACATATGCTAGTCTTGTAACCATGGGCAAGGGTTAACCTCTCAGTGCACCTGGCAGCTTTCTGTAAGTTATGAATGAATTGCTAAATTATATTCATGGAAAGAAGGGAAATTCCACCAGGAGTTCCTCTATGCCAGTAAAATCACAGCTCTTGACCTCCTCATTCACTGATCTCACTCCCCAAAAAAGGGCCGTTCAGAGAGTAAATTGCTTATTGATTTGTAAGAAATAGTGAGTAACTGACATCAAAAAATTAGGTTCCAATTTTTTTTTTAGTAAAATGAATATTTCTTTTATGAAATTATTTTTCTCCTTCAATCTTTACAATTAGTATCAAGAAGAAATTCAAGAACTTAATGAGGTTGCAAGGCACCGACCACGATCTACATTAGTTATGGGAATTCAGCAAGAAAACAGACAAATCAGAGAATTGCAGCAAGAAAATAAAGGTAAGCTAAAGTGCTTCTAATTAAGATAAATTAAGAATGAAACCTCTTCAGTGGCTGTGAGACTGGATTGTTTTCTGAATTTAAAATAAATCAATAAGTTTTTGTTGTGATTTATTATAAGCAAATATTGGTATAGCTAATTGAACTTACTTTGCTATTATTTACTTTTAAAGAAATTAATTTCAGTACATTAAATGTCATGCTATTTTTGTCATTTTTAAGTCTACATCAGAATTCTTCGTCCATGTTACTATTCATTTCCCACTTATGTTTATACAGTAGAGTATATTCTGTTTTTCTTCTGCTTTAATTGCTTTGCATTATTCCAGTATAGAATTTTAGAGTTAGAAGGGAATTCACTGGCCATGTAGTCTAGCCCATGCCTGAATTAAGAATCTTATCCACTGCATACTTCCTCTCCTCTCATTCCTTTTTTCTCTCTACTCCCTCCTCCTCCCATTGAGAAGGCAAGAATTAAAATACTCATTTTGTATATATGAAGTCATACAAAATGTATTTTCACATAATGCATGTTCTGAAAGAAAAAAAGGCAAAGAGAAAAATATGCTTCAATCTTCACTCAGTTTATTCAGTAATTTCTCTATCTGGAGTAGGTAGCATTTTTCTATCAAGAGTTCTTTGAAATTGTGGTGGATCATTGATTCTCTTTACAATCTTGCTGTTTCTGTATAAATTTTTCTCCTGGTTCTGGTCATTTCACTTTGCATCAGTTCATATAGGTCTTCCCAGGTTTTTCTGAAACCATACCCTTCATCATTTCTTATAGCACAGAAGTATTCCATCACATTGACATACCATAACTTATTCAGCCATTCTCATTCACTTTTCAGTCCTTTGCAGTTTGACTTCTGACTCCATCACTCAGCTGAAACCGTTTTCTCCGAAGTTAATATAATTGCCAAATCTGAGGGCCTTTTCTCAGTACTCATCCTTCTTGACCTCTCTATAAGATTTGACCCTGTTCACTACTTTCTTCTCCTAGATAGTCTAGATAGTCTTTCCTCTCCCATCTCCTTCCAAATTTCTCTGTTTCTATTAAGAAAACCACTGTTCTTGCAGGCACTCAGATTCACAACCTCAGCGTCATCCTTTACTCCTCATTACTTGCATTCACTCACATAGCCATTATCATAGTTTAGGCCTCCATCAGCTCTTCCCCAGACTATTAAAAAATCCTCCTAATTGATATCCCTGCTCATGTCTCTCCCATTCTCCAGGCTGTCTTCTACATTTATGTGAAAGGGACATTGCTGAAGCACACTTCTGAGTATATCATTCTCATACATATATTGCAGGTCAATCCATCGTGGACTGGAGAGGGATTAAGAGGGTAGTGCCAGATGCAAAAGAGATTGAAGGATAGAAGAGTCAAAGATAACTCCAAGGCTTTTAGGGAGACATGATGGCATTTCTCTTAAAAGAGAAATTAGAAGGGGGGTCATTTTGGGGGAAAAAAGATGATGACTTTGGTTTTAAACATATTAAGAGTAAGGTGCTAACATCCAGTTGAAAATACACAACTAGAACTCTGGGGAGATATTAGAGATGGAGATGGAGATTTGGGAGCTATTGCATAGAGGTCATATTTGAAGCTATGAGATCACTGGGAGATAGTATATAGAGAAGCTAGTATAGGGCCCTAGAAAGAATCCTAGGTAAAACCTACACTTGACTGGTGAGAAAAGAGTATAGAACTAGCAAAGCATAAGTCAGAAAGGCAGAAGGAAAATTATAAAAGGTCAGTGTCATAGAAACCCAGGGGAAAATGTATCTGGTGCCTTTGAGAGGTCAAGGAGAATAAAAAGCAGCATGAGCCCCCAGTTGATAACTGGTCAAAGGATATGAACAGGCATTTTTCAGATGAAGAAATTAAAGCTATCTATAGTAATGAAAAAATGCTCTAAATCACTATTGATTAGAGAAATGCAAATCAAAACAACTCTGAGGTACCACCTCATACCTATCAGATTGGCTAATATGACAGAAAAGGAAAATGATAAATGTTGGAGAAGATGTTGGAAAACTGGAACACTAATACGTTGTTGATAGAGTTGTAAACTCATCCAAAAATTCTGGAGAGCAATTTGGAACTATTTCCAAAGGTCTGCAAAACTGTGCATATCCTTTGATCCAACAATACCACTACTAGGTCTATATCCCAAAGACATCATAAAAAATGAAACAGGGCCCACATGTACAAAAGTATTTATAGCAGCTCTTTTTGTGGTAGCAAAGAATTGGAAATTGAAGGAATGCTCATCAATTGGGGAATGGCTGAACAAGTTGTGGTATATAAATGTAATGGAATAATATTGTGCTACAAGAAATGATGAGCAGGCAGATTTCGGGAAAACCTGGAAAGACTTACATTAACTGATGCTGAATAAAGGGAGCAGAACCAGAAGAACATTGTACACAGTAACAGCAACATTGTACGACGATCAACTATGATTGCCTCAGTTATTCTCAGTAATATAATGGTCTAAGACAATTCCAAAAGACTCATAATGGAATCTGAATGCAAATAGAAGCATACTATTTTCACTTTTTTTTCTTTCTCGTGGTTTTTCCCTTTCGTTCTAATTCTTTCACAACATGACTGATGTGGAAATATGTTTAATATGATTGTACATATATAACTTATATCATACCCTGTGACCCAGCAATACTACTTCTATGTCTGTATCCCAAAGGGATCATAAAAAATGGAACAGGGCCCACATGTACAAAAGTATTTATAGTAACTCTTTTTGTTGTGGCCAAGAATTGGAAATTGAGGGGATGCCCATCAATTGGGGAATGATTGAACAAGCTGTGGTATATAAATGTAATGGAATTCTGTTGTGCTGTAAGAAATGATGAGCAGGCAGACTTCAGAAAAACCTGAAAGACTTGTATGGACTGATGCTGAGTGAAATGAGCAGAACCAGGAAAACATTGTACACAGTAACAGCCACACTCTGCAATGACTGACTTTGATAGACTTAGCTCTTCTCAGCAATGCAAGGATCTCTAAGACAGCTCCAAAAGACTTACAGTGGAAAAAGCTATCCACATTGAGAGAAAGAACTATGGAATCTGAATGCAGATGGAATGCAGATTTGCTTTCCTTTTCTTTTGTTGTTTTGAGTCTTCTTTCTCATGGTTTCTCCCACTGGTTCTAATTCTTCTTTACATCATGACTTACGTGAAAATATGCTTAATATGAATGTGTAAGTAGAGACTATATCAGATTGCATGCCATCTTGGAGAGGGGGGAGGAGAGGGAGAGGAAGAAAATTTGAAACTCAAAATCTTAATGTAAGTGAATGTTGAAAACTAAAAGTTAATAAATAAATTGTTTAATTAAAAAAATCTATATCAGATTGCTTGCCATCTTGGGGGGGTGGGGGAAGGGAAGGAGAAAAAAATTTGGACCTCAAAATCTTATAAAAGTGGATGATGAAAACGATCTTTACATGTAATTGGAAAAAATAAAATATTAGTAAGGAAAAAAAAGTTTAAGGGGGGGGCAGCATGAGCACTAGATTTGAGAGTCAGAGGACAGACTGTTTACTACTTATGTGACCAAGTCACTTAACTCCCTAGGGTTTCTTCATCTGAAAAATAAGGGCTTCAGGTACATGACTTTCCAGGTGCCTCCCAATTCTAAATCTTGTGAAACCTAGAGCACTTTCGGAGGCATGAAGTCCAGCTGTTCTGGATAGCAGTGTGAAAATAGTCGTAACCTTCTTTGTGCTAACAAAGAACTGGAAACAAAGGTGTCATGTCCATCCATTAAGAAATGATAAGTGTGAAGAACTCAAGGAAGCATGAGATTTGAATGAATGAATGCAAAGTGAAGTGATGAATTAATAACAAAAACCATTTGTTAAGTGTTTACTATGTGCTACCCACTCTGATAAGCACTGAGGATACAAATAGAACAAGCTCGACAGTCCCTGCTCTCAAAGGGAGAGCACTCTTAATTAGAGTAAGCAATATATATAAGACAGTTCAGCTCCAGGGCAGATTAAAAGGCCTGGCAATGTTAAGGGTCAGCAGCAGACTGATGACAGTGCTAGGGGTTGGCAGAGCAGATGATAAGTCCTGGAGGACTTAAGGGGGAAATGGCAGAGTGGAGGGTAAAGTGTAGTGGTGGAATAGAGTCAGGCACTACTGTTTCTTCCAAGTTGTATGAGCAGGCAGCAGCTCACTGGGTCTGGGCATCTCAGGTCAGGAAAGGCAGTGTGTGAATGTGGTAGGAAGGAGAGGAAGGGAAGTGCTGGGGGAGGGGGAATGGTCTTCAGTGTCAGATTATCTTGGAGGGGCTTTGGGATGGCTTGGGGGCTGGGAGAAGTGGCAAGAAGCAAAGACAGAAGGAGGAAGAGGAGAGGACCTAAGAGAAGATAGGACTACTATAAGGCAAATGACAAGATTGCCAAAAAAGGGAGTTGAAGCCTAAGTAATTGGAAAAAAAAAAACAGTGAAGTTCCTGGAGAACAGATAAACATTCTTTTTTATTTTTTTTTTATTTTTGTGAGGCAGTCAGGGTTAAGTGACTTGCCCAGGGTCACACAGCTAGTAAGTATCTGAGGTCAGATTTGAACTCAGGTCCTCCTGACTCCAAGGCCAGAGCTCTATCCATTGTACCACCTAGCTGCCCCTAAACATTCTTTTTTGGTCTTAATAAGACCATAGGCAGAGACCAATAGGTAGAAAACTTACAGGACAGAATATTGCATACATTGTCAGATTCAGTTACTATATTGGATGTTTTTGCTTGTCTTTGTCACAAGGTAAGCTTCAGTCTAAGGAAAGACTTGAAATGACTATAATGTAAAGAGAAAAGACATCAGTGAAATTTGCATTTTTGTCAAAACTGGAAATTGCCAACATGGTCATTAATGACCTTAGAGAAAGCTCTTTTAGTAAAGTGGTGAGGATAGACACAAAAATGAAGGTTGTACTTTTTTACTCCTAACTCTAATACCATACTGAACTTCTACTTATCCCTGCAGGTTTATCTTCAAAGTGTAATACATAAAACATTCCCAGAGTTCTCCTCCATTTTCTACAAATTAGCAGAGGCAGCAAAGAAGTAACTCTTCTATGCAATACCCTTTTACTTCCTGTCTGTACATCACCTTTACCACAGCCTATTAGTGGTCAACATCATTGGTAGACCTTTATGCCCCTCTACCAAAAAGCAGTACAAATAGTGCTGGGCTTTTTGCTTTGGATTTTATACAGGTACTGCTTACAACCCAGAACCTGTGTTGTTACATTCCACCACATCAGGCCCAGGACATTGACCATCCTACTTGAACTCAGGATACTGAGAGTTTTGCAGCCCATTCATTCATTCAATAAGCTATATGCAGGGTACTGTGCTAGATCCTGATGGAGATACAAAGATATGATTGCCTGCCTTCAATGAAACATACATTCTAGTAGGGAGGGGATATTGCACATGAACAAAGTACCATAATGCATTGTGCTCAAAAAAGGTCCAGAGAAAGTGTTCTCTGTGTGGCCTAAGGAAGGAAAAGACCACTGTTGACTTGGAGGAGGAATATAATTGGTATTTAAGCTGTGCTTTAAAGGATAAGAAGGATTGCACCTGAGAACCATGGGGTTAGATATTCCAGGTATAGAAAATGATCGAAGTAAAGGCATGGAAACAGATAAGAACCAGGTGCTAATTTTATAGAATCTGAGTTCAAAGAACTCATTAGAGGTAATTGCTCTAATTCCTTACCTAAATCATGCTTTCAATGGATTGCTTCTATATTTTAGTATTTTGGAATGCTTCTCTTCCTTCTAGACTCAGCTTAGTTGCTATCCTCTATGTATCCTTTGCTATCCTTTCTATGTATCCTCCCCAGTTTCTTCCTGTTAGAGGTAATTCTTCTGTCCCGAATATCTCAGTCCTCTCTGTTTAACCTTTTTTCCCCACTGTTCATATTTTAACTCATATATAGTCAATGTAAAGACTTCCAGTGTGAGGAATACACTGAGTGAGCCCATACAGTTTTTTAATGGCTCTGGTTGTTAAGATCTTCCTTTATATTGAACCACATCTTCTTCCCTTCAGCTTCTACCCATTGGCACGAGTTCTACCCATTCATGCCAAGAAAAAAAAAATAAAACTACTTCTAGTATATGATAACTCTTTAAATATTTAAAGACTATTTGTGTTTATCTTAGCCTTCTCATCTCTAAGTTAAATCAGTATGGAGATTGCAGGTAGTCCAGTTGGGTAGGAAATGAAGGATCAGACCGTAGGTGGTTTCACAAGCTCAAAACTTGAATTTCAAGCCCAGAAAATTATACATTAGTAGGAAGTAATAGGGTCAGCTATTTGTTAGCCCTGATGGATGATCATTCTCCTACATATATGTATATACACCCTTAGTGAGAGGTGTGGATTTGCATAGGGATCATGCATAGGTTATACACAATGGAAGTATTTATAATGAGGGCACACACCAAGAGGGGCAGCTCATGCCTCTGATGTGGTAGCACTGTTTGTGTCTTCTAGTGATGTTACGTTGCTCTCTACTGACAGTCAAATTTATGCTACCCATCTTTTAAGGTCCCTTAATACCATCCATAGAAGCTACTGCTCAGCCAGCTCTTTCAGCCAGCTCCACCTTCTTTTTCTAGAGTAAAATAATCAGTTGATGAATAATCTTTTTTTTGTTTGTTTGCATTTTCATCCAGTTTTAACAAAAGACATCTTGCTTTTTAGAAAATGATTTGGGTTTTTTTTGTACCAAAAGGATTACTTAGCCTTTTTATTCCAAAATTTGAATAACATGTATTTTGATTTTTGGTAGAATTACGCACATCTCTTGAAGAACACCAGTCTGCTTTAGAACTCATAATGAGCAAGTACCGAGAGCAGATGTTTAGGTTGCTAATGGCCAGCAAAAAGGATGACCCAGGTATTATAATGAAGCTAAAGGAGCAACATTCCAAGGTATTTTTTTTTCTTTTTGTCTAAACCTTTAAAAATGAAAAGGGGACCTATGGGTTAACTTTATTTGTTTTGCTTTGTTCGGGTTAAAAAAAAACACTCATGAATAACAGCAGCTTCGTTTAAACATACTGTCTTTTCAGCTGTGGTTTCTTCCATTTCCATTCTTTATCTCCAGATTTGCAAAGTGTTTCTCCTGTTTATCTCCTACCTTAAATTCTGATGTTTACTCTTATCTTTTGTATGGTGTATTAAAACATAAAGTCTAGTTAGGGAAATACAGGTAAGTCTTCATTCGAAATTTTATTTTTCTAAGATGTATTTAAAGAATATTTTGATCTTCTGCCTTTGTGTATTTCAAAATGACTTCCAGAAAATGAAAATACTGAAAACTCTAGGAAAAAAAAAGAAAACAGCAAACAACAGAATGTGACTTAATTCAGATGCGTTTTAAACCCTTGAGACTCATCACGAGATACTTATCTTTAAGTATTGAGACAACTTATTACTTATTCTAGAGGAACTTAATTTATCTGCTCTCAGAATTTAGCAATTGAAAATTCAGGACTAGAATAAAAGGACTTTTGATCCAGAATTTCTTTCAACAATAGCCTTCAGCTAGGCCACCAAGAAGAAAATAGGATTGTCCATTAACTTACTTTCTGTGAGATGAAAAAGCAGGAAAGACAGAGTATGCTTTTAGCCATTCACCTCTTTAGACATCCATGGTTCTGTTGTCTAAGAAAAGATTGGGAAAATAGACTGGCTAATACTAACCTACATTCTTAGAAGATTGTCTTGAAGGATAATCATAATTAACATTCCTCTCTCACAGCTGAACAAATGAACAGCAAGAGAAGCAAAAGGGAAGATCTAGAACTGAACAAACTGTTAAAAAATACAGAGGTAAAAGCCTTCTAAATGGGACCACTTAAAGAATATATGTATTTCTAAGCACCACATGACACTTTTATAAAAATAGATCCTGCATTGGGGCACAAATTGCATATAAATATAAAAGTACAGTAATATTAAATGTCCATTGTGGACCATAATGAAATAAAAATAATAATCAATTTATAGAACACAAGAAGAGATAGAACCTATAGTTAATATCCTGTACAATGAGTGGTTCAAAGAATAACAGAAATAATAACTACATGAAAGACAATTATAATGATGAGACAACTTAGATATGGCTAATAAACTGAATATATAATTTTAAAGGTTAGAAAACTAACAAATAAGGAACCTTAAAATAAGCAAATAAAAGAAAATCTTGAAAATTAGAGAAGTAATAAATTGGAAACAAAGAGACTATAGAACTGATGAGTCCAATTAATAAAACCATAGCTTTTCAGTTAAAAATATGGCTCTTGGGGAAAAATAAACAAGATAGATAAAACTTTAACTAATTTGATTAAAAAGAAGAAAGGTCAGTCAAATAACAAAAATGAACAAGTAAAATCACAATGCAAAAGAAATAAAAACAATTACTAGAACTTACGGCGTAAAGTTAGATGTCAACAAAACTTGGAATTCTGTGTAATAGAGGATTATCTACAAAACTGTAACCAATAACAGATCACTAAGTAGTGATTTTAAGTAATATAATTTCAGAAAAGGAAATTGAACTAGCAGCTATTAAGGAACCCCTGGTCCAGATGGATGTATATCTGTAAAAAGAACCTATGCTGTTCTTAAGAATTGAGAAAGCATTTTGCCAGATTCCTTTTTTGGAGAAAAATGTAGTCCTAATACCAAAACTTATTAATTGCCATTAGATTGTGAAAGGCAAAGTCCCTGAAAGACAGGGCTTGTCTTTATATTTTTCTTTGTATCCCCAGCACTTAACACAGTGCTTGGCACATCGCAGGTACTTAAGAAGTGTTTGTTGGCTGACTAAATTGGGAAAGCATAAAGCAGAGAGCTATAGACCAATATCACTAATGAGTATTTATTTTAAAATGTAAATTAAATGCTAGCCAAAGAATTATTGCAATTTATCTGACAAATCATTCCCTGTGATCAAATTGGATTTTTAACATAAAGGCTCTAGTGGCTCAACATTAGGAAGATGAACAATCATTTTTTAAAATCCCAGGCCACATAATTATTTTAATAGCTGCCTAAAAAGCCTGAGAAAAAAACAATACTCACTTGTGCTACTGAAAAAAAAAAACCCTACGATGTATAGGCACGAAAGGATCTAAAACCAAAAGCTAGCATTCCCAATAAATCCAGAAATAATGTAACAATGCCTCCTTTTCCCGTTATTATTTGACATAGTTCTGAAAATGTTTGCAATAGCACTAAGACAGAAAAGAAACAATAGACAAAAAGGAGGCCAAACTGTTTTTGTCCTGTTGGCAGAGGACAAGATAGTTTACTGAGAAAATCCTAGGAAGTCAGCAAAGAAACTAATTGAAACAATAGCAGCAGTGAAGTCATAGGCTACAAAGTAAACTGATGATCAATAGCAATTCTGTTTAGTAATAACAAAAGTCAGTTAAAATATTAATGATTAAATTGATCCTAACTGGGTTGCTATCTAAAATATGCAACAATTGACTGAATAAAAGTTGTTTTTTGTACTTTTCATAGTATTTAAAATATAAATAATGATTATTGGAATGTCTTTTTAACTGTCTGAATTACTAAATTACAGCATTAAAGGCATTAATTTAAAATATTCCTTGATGGGGCAGCTAGGTGGCCCAGTGGATATAGCACTGGCCCTGGATTCAGGAGGACCTGAATTCAAATCCAGCCTCAGACACATAACACTTACTAGCTGTGTTACCGCAGGCAAGTCACGTAACCCCCATTGCCCAACCAAAAATATATATATATATATATATTTCCTTGTTATTTGAGAATAACTTTGTACACTTAGAGTGAGAATTGCTTATTACCAAATGGTTGGCCATTAGGTAGTTTTTTGGGCCACAACAGCTCATGCAAAAGGTCTGTGAAAGTCCTCTGTGTCACTGGAGAGGGTACTCAGAATGAAGAAGTTATAATTTTTTTTTTCATTTATGAGGCTGAAGATTGGAAGAATGCAAAATCTAAAAGCCAAGGAGTGCTTAGTCTCAATAGCTTTAAAATCCCATATATATAGTTCCTTAGATAATTTGTATCACAGGAACAATCAATAAATGATTATTTAATTCAGTAAAACAATAAATTGAATAAACTTGCAAAATCTAGAATGGTACAATGCAAAATTTTATCTAAATGTAATCCTTGGAAATTCAAGTAGCATTCTTACTGGACATAAAAATCCAACTGTTGCCAAATAAGGTAATGCTAAAAGCATAAAATGTTTACATTAGAAAAGGTTAATGGTGAGTCAATATGAAATTATTGATAAGAAAAATGTAATTCCTGTGAAGTCCCAAAATACCTTACATTTTAGAAATGACATATCTTTTGAAATATTTCTACCCCAGGACAATAAAATTTTTACTTGTCTGGGAAAAAAAACAAACAAGCAATCCTGGAAAAGACTCTTTGCTGAAATCTGAGATGCTGAACTTTCTAGTCTCATCCAATAGTGACTATAAAAGAAACAGGCTGAACTGAGATTGTACCACTTAACCTTGATCTGTTTTTTAACAATTAGACATTATTTTTTAGGACTCTTAAACCCTCCTTTCATGATGCAGAGCTACTTGTCCAAAGTCCTGCTATCAGTCTTCCATAATAATTAATGACTATTTCCTAATACATATTGATGTTTTGTGATTTTGATTTTTACCCAAAAGGAACAACTTTTAAAATATCATAATGACAGAATTTTGGAACAAGCAATCCCTCTCTTAGGGCTACACTCTGCTGTAAATCTATGTGCCCACAATTAAGTTTTTGAGCACATTTTGGTGTGAGTGGGAAGTTGGGAAGGGCTGATTTTTAGCCTAAATAATAACTAATTTTTAATCCCTTTTTAAACTGATGTCTTTTTGGAACTCTTTAAAAAAATTTTTTTTCAAGTAATAAAGCAGTTGGCTAACACGCATGAACTAACTCATTCAATTTTTAAATTACGGATCATATCCGTATTAACATTATAATGACTCTGTACTACAGATTGACATGGTACACCGTCACAGCCCTGAAGGAATCTTCCTTGGTGCACCTCGACGAATCCTTGAAGGAACTCAACATGGACTGGAGAGAAGGCACTTGGAAGCAAATCTGAATGTACACTAATAAAACAATTGACTTTGGGGGATTGGTTGGAGGGGGGTGCCAATGTTTGATGTTTTAACTCTTAACGTTGGATTTTAAAATAATGAAATTACCAAATTACTAAAAATTAATTAATAAAATATGCTTGTGACTACCAGACAGAAGCATGAAAGTGCAGAGTATAGCCCTCCACTCTCATTCATTCTTATGATGTAATGTCTACCATGTATTGCATGACATATTAGACTTAAAGTTATATAGCATAAAGTAGAATGAGCCTTCCATTTCTTTATTTTTGTTGACTGTTGTTACTGCATAAAATTTTAGAGGTTTTTGTTTTTTAAGAACTGTTGATTAAAATCTTATTTTTGTACTTATGGGACATCAAAGGAATCATTTTCTTGACAATAATTTAAGTTGACTTATCAAATAGTTTTGTGAATCAAATAATGTGCATTGAGGGATAATTAACAAGAAGTTAAAATCATTATTTTAGGATTCTTAGGTTGCTTCTACATTTCATAAGGTCACAGTTAGATAGTGTTTCTTCCATTCTGTCTTAACTCTGTTGCTAGAAGGTCAGGTGTGTCATGCATATTAAATTTAAGTAGAAGTCCCAGAGTTTATAAGGGATTGATGTAAGGGACTGAGGAATTCATTGTGTTGTGGGGACTCATAACTTTTTCCCTTATTTTTAAAATCACTATTAAAAGCAGAAGCGTTTGCCTTTCATGCTTATTAAAAGGTCTGTGGCATTTTCTTTAAAGATTTAAGTATTTATTTACAGACCGTAAGTTTGTACTGCCATCTTGAATTTCTCTGGTTTCTAGCCTCTAAAGTTCTTCTTAACTCCTCTAATTTTAAGTTTGGTACAAAGAGTCTGATACCTTTCTAGGACAATTCAATGTTACTAAGTGCTTAAGGTATATTAGTATACAACTGTATTTAAAAGTGGGGCAATTTGACTGGGGTTTGGAAATGTACTCTACATAAATTTTCCTTGTAGTAGAATTTGCTGTGGCAGAATTTGGAATGTTGCATATTATCTTTCATGCTTCCATTTGGTTTTTGGTTTTTTGGTGAGGCGATTGGGGTTAAGTGACTTGCCCAGAGTCACACAGCTAGTGAGTGTTACCGAATTTGAACTCAGGTCCTCCTGACTCTAGGGCCAGTGTTCTATCCACTGTGCCACCTTGCTGCCCCCTCATGCTTCCATTTGGAAGCTAAAGTATTTCCCTCACATGAGCTCACCTTGAAATTCAGAGTAGGTAGGTTTGATGAAACAAACTTAAGAGTTAGTTACATAAATGTTAGTTTGATTGCTGCTGTTGGTTTTCTGCCTCTAACTACTTGTGAATGTTACTTCATTTTTATCATAGAAGTATTTCCAGTTGTCTGTAAAAATATTGCATCCTTGGACAAGTTTGTCATGAAGTAATAATCAAAACCATCAATACATTTTTTTTATGTATAGCTTTTCCTACCAAACTAATGGATAAGCTTAGCTTACATTTTCAGTTGGCTAAAAAAGTTATATGGTTGAGAATACTACAGATGTACTAATGTTCCTTATGTGTTCTATCAGTTACTACAGTGGCCAACATTATGGTTATAAAATATTTATTAAATACATCATTTCATTTGAGCTTCACAGCTCTAGGAGATGGTAATAAAAACATTCTCATTTTATAGAAAAAAGAAAACTGAAACTTGGATTATTAATAATTAATAGCAGCTGACATGTAGCTATATAAGGTTTACAAAGCACTTTATGTACATTATGTGTACATAAAGTATGTGTATGTAAGGTATTCATTTGAGCCTCCTAAAAACTCAGCTATTTTAGGTAATGTCCTCCTTTTATAAATGAGGATTTAAAGCAGAGAGGTTAAATGTAAGAGTGAGAGTTAAGACTTAAACTAGAACTTATTATTCCAAGGCCAATATTCTTTCTATTTTACCACATTGCCTCTTGTAGCAGACATGTGGATCTTTGGGCGCCTAGTTTAAATTCCCAGTTTAAAATATAGCTTATTTTAGAAGATAAATTACAATTTCATTTTGGTTAACATTTTTAGTAAAATATTCCTTAACTGTCTATCAAAAATTTAAGTACATTAAAGTTATTCATAAGGAAAATGAATTATATCTGAAATGATGGCTTTCTTTCATTTTTAAGATATTGTGAACTAATTTGCTTAAATGTGATTATGAAAGCACAAATCTACATACTCTGAATAATAAAAAAAATTGCAGAGAAAATCATACTCAGGAAAATAAAGGTAAAAGTAGGAGGCAGAATCTGTTTCAAGTATTTCTTACTTTTTCAGTGAAATTAGTCCATTATGATATTAGAAAGAAAGAAAAAACAGAGGTGGTCTTTTTTTGGAAATAACAATGTAAAGAGGTTTAAACAGAATGAAAATGTAATTCTTTAACCACTTTTTTTTCAACCAATTAAGTATGAGTTAAATGAGTTTTGCTGTTTGTCTTCCATTAAAGTATATGCATTTTAACTTGACAGTCCTGTAAATAAATATGTTTGACACCTTTTAGAATATAAATTTAATATGAGAACACAAAGTAGGGGGAAGCTCTGGAAATACTTTAGATTAACTGAAGAAATAATATTCTGATCTGATAATTCTTTTCCCCTGTTCCCTCTCTTATTTTAAGGAATTACAAGTACATGTGGACCAGATTACAGAAATGGCAGCAGTAATGAGGAAAGCTATTGAAATTGATGAGCAGCAGGGTTGCAAGGAGCAGGAACGAATTTTTCAACTTGAAGTAAGTTTTAAATTCTGGATATAACTTGAAATAGCCACTGCTAAATAAAAAAATTTTGTCAGAGGGAGCAGTGTAATGTAGCACCTCTTTGGCTTTTGAAAAGTGGCAACTATGTTTCAGCTAGTAATGAAACCCAATTGATGTTTAGGGGTGAATAGCTCTTTTTGAATCTGTGTTTAGGGGTGAATAGCTCTTTTTGAATCTGAACAACTTAAGGGTGCCAGCTGTTTAGAAATGTGTTTTTGTACTTAAGTATGAAATATTCATACATTCTTCTCATATGGATGACAGTGATGATATACGTTAAATACCATTAAACATAGATCCTCTTCACAATATAAAAAGTTTATACAATCCTCCTGTTCCTGGTTTGGACCAGTAATCATTTGACAGACCAGTAGTAGTAATTAGTGATAGCTGATTTTAAAACCACCCCTGTTAAATTTCTCCAAATCACTATACTTCATACTCATTTAAATTAGTATTTTCTTACATCATTTTTATAAGTTCTTCATTAATAGCCACAACATTCTTTCTAAATCTAATTACATTCTTTGGTGGGATATAAATGCTTTGGGAACTTAGTTTGTAGCTGCCGAAGTAGGAGCCATTGTTCTTGAATTCAGTGAATAAGTCTCATAGGAAAAAATCATTTTGAAACTAGTGTAGTTATTTGATGACAGATGGCCAAGTACAGTTTGTCTCTTTAATGAATAGCTATGTTCTTTATGTTACTAAAACATAAAATAAGACTAACAAAGAAATGGTATAAGTCAGTCAATGAAAAATTGAAATAAAACTCCTTTGAAAATAAACATGACTGGGGCAGCTAATAGATAGAGCTCCAGCCTTGGAGTCAAGAGAACCTGAGTTCAAGTGTGGCCTAAGACACTTAACACTAGCCGTGTGACCCTGGGCAAATCACTTAACCCACATTGCCTCACCAAAGAGCAAAATTTAAAAAAAAAAATCACTTAAAAAAAAATAATCATTACTAGAAAGTTGAAGTTAAAAGTTAACCACCAAATTTTCCACTAATAACCAACATTGCTTTTACTGAAATCACAAACTGCCCAACAGTCTTTTTTTTTCCCCCGAGCATTTGTGAGGGATTTTGAGGGAGACAAAAAGAGTGGTTTCTTACTACTATACTGTAGCACAGTATAAAGAAAAAGACTGGGAATTCTAAAACAGGTTCTAGTCCCAGGATAGGGTTACAACAAGCATGTGACTTCCTTGAAACTCAGGTTTTTCTCTATAAAATGAGGGGGTTGGACTCTATAACCTTTAAGTTCCTTTTCAAATCTAAAATTAACATAATTTAAGAAATATGGTACCATGGAAAAGGAAGTAGAAATTATGGTAGGCAGTATACATTCTCCTACCCCAGAAAAATACATTCTCCTGATGTATGCTGATAGCTACATTTATTTTTTAGTATACTCTTTTTATGTGGGATAGTTTGGCATAATGGATACAGGGGCTGACCTTGTAATCAGAAGAATTGGCTTTATTCACATAGAATTATGAGAGATGGAAGGGACCTTTGAAGGCATCTAATCCAGCCCTGTCATCTTGTATTTGAGGAAACTAAATCCTAAAAATGTGTGTTGACATTCTGGCTATATGGCTGTAGATGAATAAGTCACTTAACATATCAAGGCTGTAGGCTCCTCTTTAAAACTGTAAGTTATAGGCATGTTACTAACTTGCATTGGTGGAGGAAGTTTACATAACAGTATACCTCTACTGATGAAATCACAATTCTAGACCAAAAATATATGTATAATATTTTTGCAGTTGTGAAATGTTTTTGATTGGTTACTTCTACATCATATTTCCTTTCCCCCCCCAGAAAGTTTACCTTTCATAATATGCACCTTGATGTATGTGTGGTATTTGATTTTGTTATTTATATTCTTATAGCAAGAAAACAAAGGCTTGAGAGAAATCCTTCAAATAACACGAGAATCATTCCTGAGCCTCAAGAAAGACGATGCATCAGAGAGTACATCTTTGTCAGCATTGGTAACCAGCAGCGATTTGAGCCTGAGGAAGAGCTAAAGAACATGGAAAATCACTGAGCTTCTGTTGCACAGCTCCTAATAAGGAAACAGGGTTTACTTAAAAAATTGTTAATGAATTGAGCACCAGAAAAATCACAATCTTAAATCAGCCCTTCATTTCATTCTTTTTATATTATGTGTAGTACACTGGCAAATGACATTTTAAAAAGACAGTAACAGAAGATCAATATTTGGTTGTCATTGACTTTGTTATTCCTATTAAAGTTTTTAATGGGAAAGTGGAAACTTTAAGCCATTGTTATTAGATAAATTAAAGTTCTCATATAAAGAAACTACTGATCTTACTAGGCCCCTGCTACGCTATTTTTCTTAACTTTTTTTATCCAAATATTAAATATATATAAAGCTCTACATAGAATTTATGCAGTTATACCATTTTTAAAAATCCACATTTTCTTAGCTTGGACTTAGAGAAAAGGAAATGTGTCCATTCCTAAATTTGATCTCTATTTGATATGAAGGCTAGCAAATGGTATTATGTTTTACATGTACTGGGCCTACCTTTACATTTCTTAGGAAACGCCTTTCAAAGATGTCAAGCTTATCCAAAACATTTAAAAGATTGATAACACTTTGGTTTTGTGGCATAGGCCATAAATTGTTTGTTCTTCAAGCCTAGATCCTAAGAGGTGCTTTTGTTTTAGCCAGCAACATACCATAGTTGATCATAACATTTTGGGGAATAACTGCCCAAAACTTACTGAAGGTGAAGAAATGTAGAAACTATCTTTTCAGTAATGAAAAAGAAAGCTATACTACTTTCTGAGAAAGAAAACCATATAGAAGACAAGATTATTCAGTAGGTTGAACTACTACTTTAGAGGGGGAAGGGTTAGGTTTGGATTCCTGAATAAATATTAATTTGGTCAGATTTGTTTTCTGGTTGATTTTAGGAATATTAATCTATCCATTACCCAGCTGTCTCAGTTGGAAGGCCTGATTTAGCAAGCCAGGAATAGAGACATTTGAAGTGGGCAAAAAAAAAACAAAACAAAACAATGTATTTATTTTAGCCTTGTTAATAGTAAACATCAGCTTTCACCTGGTTTATAAAAAGAAAGCTTTATTCCTTATAAAAGCTTATTTTTCTTATTAGATGTCAACAGGAGCAAAGAAACTATAACTGTGGGTCTCTCTGAATCTGCCCTTGAGCTCATGTTCCCAATAACTTTCAGATTTTTTATGGCCATCACACTGAAACAGGGATTTGGGAATGGTTCATTTTCTTGGATTTTATAAAAACTGCAAGTTATTTACTACCATCTTGTGAATTTTCAAAACAGACAACCAAGTAAAGAAGTAACTGAAGTTTGGGCCATTATTTAAATAAAACGTATAGTGGAAACAACTTTCTCAAATGAGCAGAATGCAAATTCCATTTAGATCCTCTGTTGAAATAATACTCTTACAGCAGTATCTGGTAGTGTGCGAAGACTCACATATTGTTAAGAGTAAAAGCAACAACTGTTTACTCAAACTTACCTTCGCAAACATTGGGTGTTTTCTATTTAAAATAAAACAAAACTTTATTCCAGAGGCCTTAGTGAAGATTTCCAATAAAAAATACTTTTTTCCTTAAAATTGTTTGGTAGCTGTCCTCTATCTTATTTTGATTAAGAAGCAGTACTTGACTTGGTGGCAGATTTCTCCAGATAATTTTGATTATATCCCATTTAACTTAAGAAAATAAAACAAGCTGCACTGTTAAGATTTAGTATGTGGCAATCTTGAGGCAGCTATTATTAAAAAAAAAAATGCTTGATGGGTATTTTTGTAAATAAAGTTGTGAATTAATTTATCTCCTCTTGACTGTCAGAGATATATTGTGTTTTTTGAGACTTAATTTTAGGGTTTTGCAGAGTGTCATTTTGTGTAATAAGTTTTCATCACATACGCATTATTTTTGTAATCCAGAAGCTTGAAATGTGTATTTGGAATGTGTACTGTATAATTTTATCAATAAAGATGATTGATAAAATTAGTATTATTTTTCCAATAACTTAAAAAGAAATACATAATTTTTCTTGTTCTCAAAGGTTTGTCAGTCAACAAGCATTTTATTAAGAACGTATATGTGTGAATAGTCATACTGTTCATAAAAGCATTCCTCACAACAGATTTATGAAGTGGAGATAATCCTGAGATTAGGTGCTGACATCTACACACCTCAGTAGTTAAAGTATCCCAGAAGTATAACTCACACCCTGGTCTACTGATTCTAAATCCATTGCTGTGTCATCAACCAACAAGTGTTAAGCATCCATTATGTGCCAGTCATTGTGCTAGGGATACAAGTACAATGAAATAGTCCCTATTTGCAGTAAGTTTACATTCTCAAGGTGAAGACAAGAAGTACATATGTAGCAAAGTGGATAGAAATAAACGCCAACCATACAAGGTAGGCTGGGTAGGAGGGCACTAGCATCCAGGAAGATCAGGAAAGGCTTCCTGTAGGAAAGTGGTGCCCAAGCTGTATCTTAAAGAAGAGAGAGATTCTGGGAGGGAGGGCATTCCAGACCTAAGATTTGGCCAGAGCAATGGCACAGAGAGAAGCCTGGATCACACAGTGCAGGGAGGGAAATGATGTCCAAAAAAAGGCTAGAAAGATCAGCTAGGACAAAGTTGTATAGACTTAAAAACTAAAGAGAGGAATTTCATTTCCAAAATGAATAGAGTAGGAGCAGCTAGGTGGTACAGTGGATAGAGCACCAGCCCTGGAGTCAGGAGGACCTGAGTTCAAATCTGTCCTCAGATACATGACACGCACTAGCTGTGTGACCTTGGGAAAGTCACTTAACCCCAACTACCTCACCAAAAAAAAAAAAGATGAATAGAGCACTGGAGTCTTTCCAGCAGTTTCTGGGACTCTACATCTTCCAAACATAAATATGGCATGTTGGAGGGAGAGACTGCCCATTCCCATAGATGCCCTGAAAGTACCAATAAAGCAAATTTACTAACAGTAAAGCAGAGCCATGCTTACAAGCAGTCACAGTATGAAAAAGCAGAGAAGCCTTCCTGCTTAAAAAGAAACAAAAAACCCCTATCTCTGGTTACCTGGATTCCACAGTTGACCTCTTTTCAGCCCCAAACCATAACCATGTTCCAACTGTGCAACAAGATAGTTCCCAAGTTAAGCAGCTTCAGTACTACTGAACCTTCTAAAAGTAGGTATTTAATAAATGTTCTGATTGTTTTTTAGCACCCTCACACTAAAGTACATTTTAACCTGCTGTCCCCAAACTGAATTGCATTAATAGTGTGTGACAGCCAAACAGACCCTATTTTAAAATAATTCCAAATTTGACAGTATTGTCAAGCCACCTGAAGACAAATTGTAAAAAATACACTTGGCCTATAATATTCTTTCATTGCCCTCAACATCAATCAATAGTAGCAAAGATTTTCTATTTATCAAAAAACCTAAATTCATGTATGATGAGACAAAAGCCAGTTTTTACACTATAGATGAAAACAGGCAAAAAAAAAGTCTTTACCAATTTGCTTAGAAAAACCTTAAGTGCTATTTGCAAAAATTGGAAGAAGAAACTCTAAGACCTCTATTAGAGCATACTGAGTTACTATGTACAATACTGTATGTACTTAAAATTTAAATACATTCTCTAATTCACACTTTTCATGAAGGGGGTAAGAATCCAGATATCAAATTTCACAGTTAAATAAACAACATGCTTTATTCTAATTTTTTTCTTCCAAAAATGAAAACAGATAAGGTAAATAGCCTGGAGTAGGGTTTTTGGAAATATGTATTTATTATAAAAAGACATACAAATTTCTGCTTTTGATTACTCACAAAATATGACTATTTGAAAGTTAAACAAAATGTGTTTTCTTCCTTAATTAAGTGCCCTACCCTTACAATCCCTAGCTAACAACAAACCTTGACTTTACAAATAAATATAATAAGTGGAAATGCATCCCATAGGCACAGGCTACATGCCTAATGTAAAAAAAGGGGAGGGGGAAAAGGTTTTAAAGTGTAAATTTTATCCATGGGCCATAAAAGGTTTCAGAATTCTATATTTGAAAGAGTTTCATTTAAATCCAAAAGGCCATTGTAATGAGGTGAAGTTGGACAGTAGAGACAATCAGTACAAAAAACTCATTTATGGTTTTTTTTTTTAATTTTCCAAGACTATTTTTAAAGGTAAAAATTAAACAAAAACTAGAAATTCCAACTATCACAAGGATGATACTACGAAAACTGCTGAAAGCTACACTGCTTCAAGCAACAGTGGTTAACCCATATATAATCTTGTGCAAGAAATTCCAACTAATTTGAAATTCATACTGTCCATTATTATGGCAGAACTGGGACAAGAGGCCTGTTGTGGAGTTAGCAGTCCAGGGCATAATGCCTTCTTGTGGTGGGAAAAAAATGGCTCTCGGACGACAAACGAATAAAACTTAAAGTTGGTTGTGTCCCAACGCTAATGATCTTCATTGCATTTTATCCTCCCTTCCACTAAATTCACTTTCAACCACCCAGGTAACAAGAGCCTTGAGGAAGAGACTGTCAGGCAAGTTTTCTTATATTTGTGCCAACACCAGCTAATAAGAGTTACAATATAAAAAACACTTAACTTTGTATGATTTTGTTAAAAAAAAAAAAAAAAAGGGACGAAAGCTAATGAGTGTAAATTCTTTTCTAAAAGAAAAAACACAACCCACATATTCTCAACAAACATTTGTTACAAGTTTTTAGTGTTATGCTGGAAATGCCCATAAAAAAGGCAAGACTGGATGGACATTTATTTGGATTTTTAAAACTAAGTCATCAGGCTTCATTATCTATACATTTTTATCTCTTTTGAGTCAGTTGAAACATCAGAGATGATGGATATAATTCAAGCCAAAAAATAAAGATTGCCTTTTCCATAACATAGTCTAATGAGGAAGAGTACAGACGTCTAATGAGAGAGAATAGCAAAGATCACTCCTCATTACTGGTCAGCTTCTGATAATTAAATGATTCATTTCTCATCCCTCTGTATATTCTCTAAAATTCAAAGTACACTCAGTACACTTTAGGTGTACTGACACTGGGTATACTGTCAGGTCCCTAGATCTCCAGCAACCACAAATAAAGATTAAGTCTCAGATTTGCATAAATCACTACCATAATTAGACAAATTAAAAGAAACATTTTAAGGGGTTGTGAGAAATATTAAGGGATTTCAAGAATGATATGACAATGGGCCTTAGCATCTCCATTTCATATACCCACCAGCCCATGTACTTTTCCTTTCTTATTACCTATATTTAATGGATTAAGTTGAACATTAAACTCAAAGCTCTTTTCAGATAATTTAAAATGGGAAAATGCTTCCTTACCATCAACAGACATTTCCTGCCATCTCACTCATTCCACACCACTCCCGCCTCCAGACATTCTCCTCAACAGCGCGTAGACAAAAATGTAACTGCCTCTGAACACCACTTTATCATGAGAATGTCTTGAAGGCATGTCAAACCTTGTGAACAGGCACATGGAGGCTAACACAGCCTAACACACTATCCCAGGCAACACATGCTGGCTGACCTTCAAACACTCTGTGGATTTCTTAAGCAATCAAGGCATAGCACCATAGCTGATGAGCATTGCTTGGAACGTTCATGCTGATTTGGTCCTTCGGAGAAAAGGGAAGCAATAACGGGTCGTCTCCATCACAGTAGCAGAGGCGTTCTTTCTCCTGCTGCCTCTTCCCCTTGAAATAACTGCTTCAACTGTGTTAATCTGTTATAGAATCTCTCTCGTATCGGACGAACGTGGTAGCTGGGATCCAGAATGTTGGTGACTCTTCGATCCCTTTCTCGCTTCCACATTTTATAGGGATGGGGAGGGAAAAACGGTTGTCCCCTCTCTCTCCGGATCTGTAATGTAATTCCACTTACTGCCAACATTCCCCAGACAGCCAGAATAACAAAGTCTATAAAAAGAGAGAGATACAGGGTTCAAACTCATATCTCAAAATCCAACAGATTTAAATTCAGTTTTCTCATCTGTAAAATGAGGATAATAACAGCGCTTCTCTCCCAGATTCAAATGGATGAAATGAGATAATTATAAAGCCCATAGCACACAATACTTGCTATATACTTGCTTAACTATTATTATTATTATCATCGAGGCAGCTACGTGGTACAGTGGATAGAGCCAACAGCCCTGGAGTCAGGAGGACCTGATTTCAAATCCAACCTCAGACACATAACACTAGCTGTGTGACTCTGGGCAAGTCACTTAACCCCAATAGCCTCACCAAAAAACATTATTATTATTATTTTTATTATTACATAATGCATTAATCTTTTGATATATAGCTACTATAATGGTCAGTCACAAGGACATAGTTCTTAGGGGACATTTTGTACACACTGAAGGCAAACATTAGGGTCCACCCCATTTTCAACCATTTTTATTGCTACCCAAGTAGATGGGAGTATAGGTCCCCATCACTGACAGCAATAGGTCTTTCTCACATCTTTTGAGTAGGTAAAAAGAAACAGTATGTAATTGATTCACTAATATTTGTTTTTTGTTATAACTTCTTGTAATTTGAAATGAATGAATTACATGGAGGTATGGCTAGGATGGGGGTGGAAGAAAAGGTTTACAATGTGGATATTGCTTCAAAAACTATATATGGAACACTTATTAAAGTCTCTGTTCAATTTGCTTTCATTTTTAAATCTCCCCATTTCAGTTCTCAGGTTCTCAGGGCCTTTCAAAGGCAAGCCAGGGAAGAGGGAGGGTTAGACAAAGAAGTAACTGCTGGTACCTTAGAAAAAATCAGATAAATCCTAATTATGCCTATACCCTGTAGCACAGAGGAGCCAAACAGAAGAAATAAAATAACTTAGTATTTATATAGCACTTCCAGGTTGGCAAAGTACTTTACAAATATTATCTCATTTAAACTTCACAACAACTCCGAGAGGTAGGTCCTATTATTATTCCCATTTTTACAGATGAGGAAACTGAGACAGATTTTAATTGATTTGCCCGGGGTCATACAACTAGTAAGTAACTGAGGCAGGATTTGAAAGCAGGTCTTCCTGATTCCACCTTCAGAACTTTAACCAGTATTTTCTTGTTGTTCACTCATTTCAGTTATGTCCAATTCTTCATGACCCCATTTTGGGGTTTTCTTGGCAAAGATACTGAAGTGGTTTGCCATTACCTTCTCTAGTTCATTTGTACAGATGAGGAAATTCAGACAAACAGGGTTAAGTGATTTGCCCAGGGTCACACAGCTAGTGTCTGTGGCAGGATTTGAACTCATGAGAATGAATCTTCCCAATTCCAGGTCCAGTTCTCTATCTCCTGCACTATCTAGCTGCCTCTAATATATACTAGCCAGTATACCATCTATCTATTCCTACAGTCCAACACTGAATAGCAGGAGTAAAGAAAGGGAACCCACAGAAAAATAAGTCAGCTAGTTCCTAATGGTTAATTTAACAAAAATCTATTAAGCATGTACTATGCGTAATACACCCTCAGAGCTCTATAAGGAGCTGCTTTTATCTCTTACTTCCTCTTCCTAAATTCGATTAGATCTTAATGGGGGGATGGGAGGGAATGGTAGGGGTGGAGTGCAAAAATCCCTCCACTACTATGAAATTTTACTCAAACTGAAACCCACCGCATGAATTTAAACTCTTCTCCCCAATGCCAAATGTTACTGTTAACAATAAGCTTTAAGGTCAAGCGTTTTGCAAACCTTAATGTGAACTGTTACTATAAACAGGCTGTGTTTGAAGGTGAAGGAGTTTCACCTCATCGAGTGCTTTCTTGAAGTTAGTTTTGAGCTGGCTGGAAACATATACTTGAACTTAAAACTACACTAAGACTTTTGAGACAACCTGTATTATAGGTGCATCGGCACTCCCGACCAGCCACCCTACTGGTCCCTTGGTTTAGATACTTACCATTAGTCTGAAAAGGCACGTTGGTGTAAGCTTTGTTGAAATCGGTGTTGACTGCTCTCTTAAGTACATTCAAAGTGATGTATGAAAGGCTGGTATAAAAATAGCTGTCAATGGCCAAGACCACAGAGTAGGAGCCAGTAATCCCACAAGCCAGTATGTTCAGCTACAAGAGATGATGTGAAAAACAGTCTCAGACTCCAGTCTCCAAAAGAACATTGATTCTCAGTCAAGTGCCAGCTACAGGAAGAGTCCTGTCTAACCCACAGAGGGTCACTATAGGAAAGTCTTGAGATTTCAGTAAGGGTTATCATCACCATGACAGACAAAGCTAAAATCTTTAATCCACTTTACAAATTGCTTGCATCCTCATACTTGCTTGGACATATTCAGGCATCAATTCATTCAATAAATATTTATTCTGAATAAACCTTATTCTAAGATGATATTAACCTTGATGGAGAACTGCAATTTCCAGACAATTCAATGCTGACTCAACCCTTTATAACCAATTGCTTATTAAGTTACATAGTACTTGAAGGTTTACAAGACTGCCTCCTTACAACAACACTGTGAGGTGGGTCACAATGTGTTTATCCATTTTATAGATGAGGAAACAGAGAGAGGTCAAAAGGATTTGCAATTTCAATCATACAACAAATGCATTCTCCTCCAATATGTCAAACTGAAAAAGGCCAAACTTTTGATAATTTTACTAAGCCACAGAATATCACAGAATTGGAAGGTCCTCAGAGGCCATCAAGGCTGACCTATACTTCACCAAAAATTGTTGTTGTTCAATCATGTCTGACTCTTCATGACTCCACTGGGGGTTTTCCTGGCAAAGACACTGAAGTGGTTCACCACTTCCTTCTCCAGCTCATTTTACAGATGAGGAAACTAAGGCAAACAGAGTTAAGTGACTTGCCCAGGATCACACAGCTAGTAAGTGTCTGAGGTCAGATTAGAACTCAGGAAGATGAGCCTTCCTGACTCCAGGACCAGCCCTGTCCCATCTAGAGACTTCTAGTGAAGGGAAACCTACAATGACCCAAGGCAGCCCTTCCAATGTGGGACGGACACGGACACACACACACACTCTCTCCCCACTCTTAGTCTCTCTAATCACAACAGTCCCTTCAGGGACCTCTTTCTTCTTTTCTTCCTCATTAGAATAATTCCTTTTGTATCTCCAAAATGTCCCCCCTTACTTTTTTAAACAAGCGTTTATTATTTCAGTATACAAAACATCAATGGCTAGAACCACACGACGAATGAAAATCATGACATACTTACAATTCTTAGGCAACCTATGAAAACTACCGGAATCGAAATGGTCATACAAGAAAAAGCCACCCAGAACACAGCATCATCGTGAAAAACCTTCAAGTCTCCTGGAAACGAAAAAGAAAGAATTATTAGTCACAAATAGTCCAGAGGAAATCTAATTTTCTCAACATAAAGAAAACAGATATACTTTAGCTCCTTACACATTGTTGCAACTGAAAGTTATGGATGTCAGATTTACAGGGTTTAGAAAGGTATAAAAAGTTGAAAAGGCAATAAGTTATTTCTTTATCTTACAAGGTCTATATGTACATGATTATACACAAACATTATACATATATACACATACATGTATATGTATATATGTGTGTATATACATATATATTATTTTTATTTATATATATGTGTATATATATATACATACACACACACACACACCATTAAGTGATGCTATTAAGTAAATGGTATTATATTTAGCTATCAACTCTCACTAAAGTGGGTCTCACATACAACATTAACAGAATAAAAGTTTATATCAAAAACATCCTACAGTGAAAACTATGTTCAAACCAAATTCCCATACATGAGTCAATGTTTCTATGGAACACGAAGCTAATTCTCAAAACACTTCTTACCAAACTACTAAATGTCACAAGAAATGTGCATTTTTTTTGTAGGAAGTAGAAACAGCAGCAAGACAGTAAGTGACCACAGAAGAAGACAACAAGCCATTTCCTTTGGTGTTGGCAGGGGAAAAGGACAACAGTATTAAACATTCCTTTCCAGGATATTTTTAGATGTCCTAAGTGCATAAGAAACTACCCATCCCTTAAATTTCAACTGAAATGTCTTTCTCCCAAGGAGCCATCCTTTAATTCCTCACCTTGGTAATAACAGCCACCCCCCCTCACTCCTCTAACCTCACAACATAGTAATACATATCCATAAAAATGTTGCCTGCATGTGTGTGTTCTGTCCTTACTAGATTATAAATGCTTAGCACGGTACTCTCTTCCCAGCAGGTACTTAATGTCTGCTGAACTGAACTTTTTACATAAACCACAAAGGCTGCCCACATAAGTGTTGAGTTTGTTTTTCTAAACACCACCAGGAAGCACTTCCTACTCTGTGTGTTCAGAATAGCTGGTAGAAATGCTACAAAATGTAATACATGATGCTTGCTCGCAATAAGCTTAAACAACATAAAGCCATCTCTGTATCCCAAAGAGTCAAAGAAAAGAGAAAAGGACCTATTTGTACAAAAATATTTAGGGCAGCTCTTTTTGCTATGGCAAAGAATTGGAAATTGTAGGGACGCCCATCAAATGGGAATGGTTGAACAAGTTTTGGCATATGATTGTGATGGAATAACCATTAGGCTATGAGAAATGACAAGCAGAATAGTTTCGGAAAAACCTGGGAAGACTTTATATGGACTGATGCAAAGTAAAGTAAGCAGAACCAGGAGAACATTGTACACAGTAAAGCAATTTTGCAAGGAGAATCAACCGTGAAAGACTTAGCTACTCTGATCAAGACAATGATCCAAGATAATTCCAAAGGATCCATGATAAAAAATCCTATCAATCTCTAGAGAGAACTGATGAATCTTTTTAAAGTAATGAATTCTGAATGCAGATGGAAGATACTTTTTTTACTTTTCATATTTTCAATGTTTTATTTGCATTTTCTTTTGCAACATGGTTCATATAAAAATATGTATTGTATGACCTCACATGTATAATCAAAATCAAATTGCTTGCCTTCTCAAAGAGGGGGGAGGGCCGGGAGTGAGAGAGAAAATTTGGAACTCAAAATTTTTAAAAATGATTGTTAAAATTTTTTTTTACATGTAATTGGGAAATATTTAATGAAATAATTTTTTCTTAAAAACCCAACAAAATAAAGCTATCACCAAGCATTCATTATGTATCTATGTATGCCAGGCAATTGGGGAAACAAAGACAAAAAAAAGCATCCCTACCCTCTATATGAACTTATACTCTATTGAGGGAGAAAAGATGTACATACATACAAAATATATACAATTAAAGAAATAGGATTAATGCCCGTGAAATAACAGTGAACAAGGCAATAATAGAATTAAATATGGAGCATCGAGGCAGCATCACAAATGCCATAGCAGTTCAGAAGACAGGAAAAGCTGTGAATGGAGATTAAAAGATGAATCAAATGTAGAAAAGTCTTTTCAAGCTAGAGGAACATTAGAAATACAGGCACAAAAGCAGGAATGAGCATGCTACAATATGTTGGAAGGAGGCAGAGTACAGAGAGATGTGCCTGATTGGATCGGTTCATGCATGCCATGACTGGTGAGGAAAGGTAGACGGGGCGTTGGAGACTATGGTTAGAGAGACTTGAGAAACTGGTTATAAATTCTTTCCCTTAAAAAAAAAAAATTATGTAATGGAAGTCCACCCCTGTTTTTGTACAACAAGTTAAGAATAGTTTTCCAATTCTTAAATACAATTTTATTGAATTGAATTTTTTTAATTTAATTCTTTGAACAAAGGGCCTAAACATACAATTGTAGAATCTCCTACCTAGTGGAGTAAAGAAAGCCACTGATGAGATGAGGAATCCCAGGACTAGCCCAACACAGAGCATGCAAATCAGGATCAACCCAAATCTCCACCAAACCATTACCAAGAGAATTCCACCAAGGCCTCCAGCAACTGCAGTCAAAATCAGGCGATCTATTCAAAGAGGGGGGAAAGGAAACCATTTTACTCACATTTCAGACTCCATCTGCAGTCATGACTTGAAGCAAACAAACTCAGCCTTAACATCTGTGACAAACTAGGATTTAAAATCACAAGGCTCTTCAACCGCCCACAAAAACATGTCAGCCCAGTTCATGGAGGAACTCTCCAAGAAGCCTGCCTGACAGCAGCCTTGGTTTGCAAAATCTCTCAACAAGTTTAGCACTAAGTAGGCTGGAGTCATAAAAATACATTAATTTTTTTTAACTTCCAGAAAAACTCTAGAACCAAAGGCAAACAAATGCAGTTCCATTATAAACAAGGTAAAGTCGCCTCTAAAAACAAACATATTCACAACATGACCAATATGAGAATGTTTTGTATGACAACACATGTATAACCTGTATCAAATTGCTTACCATCTCATAGGGAGGAGGGAGATAAGGGAGAGAGGGAGAAAATTTGGAACTCAAAATCTTAAAAAAAAAAAAAAAAGAATGTTATAAATTATCTTTACATATAATTGGGGAAAAAATATTATTTTTCAAAAAACCTTGTGGATAATAGCTTGTAGGCAGTGGCCTAATCAACATTCTAATCATTACTCCGACACTATCAGTGGTCATGATGTTTTCTATTTTATTTTTTTTCTGAATTGAAACACCAAATAAAACAGACACTTCCATGTACATAGTACAATAGAAAAAGAAGAGCGTACATGAAAATGCAGAACTCTAGTTTACACAGCTTTTCTTTTCTAAGTTCAACCCGTAGCTTTCCAAGCTGTCCTGCTCATCTCTGGCATTAATCTTGAAGGATTAAAATGTGATGGTGGTTATCATACTATAACATGCAATAAGCAGTCTGGACCTGTGATTTTACTGGTATAGGGAACTCCCTCTATCAACACAGATCAGCAACTACCTGCAATTTAAAACCTTAAAGAGCTAAGTGACTTGTATGTGTCAAATGCCGGACTCAAACCCGGGTCTCCCTGACTCAGAAGGCAGCTCTCCATCCACGATGCCAAGCATTCAGTCTCAGTTGTCAAGGAGCCAAGAGAAGGCTGGGGAACTAATTCAATGTTTCCCCTCTCGACTCAGCAAATAGCTTATTTTTACTTACCATCATATTGAAGAAGAGTTAATCTTGTAATCAATATATAAAAAAAGAATCCCACGAAGATAAAGCCTATGAAGAAGAGTTCTAAAAATAAACCACAAAGAGGAAACCACAGTTCAATGCTTGGTATTTAAGTACACTGGTGAATTTTTAAGATAACATTTTCTTCTCATTTACCAATATGCCCTTGAGCACCCAGTTTCCTACACATTAGGACAAAGGAACAAGACAGTATTATGTGGCATAACAGAACTGAGCAGAATTATCAGCCATTCAATAGTATTAATCTTGAAACATGCCCACAGTAATGACAGCAAGGCACAAGTCCAGTATATACAAATCATCTTTCAATTATCCTTTTTGTGAACGAGGAAGATTTATCATCATCTAAACCCGGTACCCAGCTTGCTACCAGCACCCACACACAGACCACTCCCAACTTTGACAAAGATGACAAACTAAATTTAGCAAGGATTACAAACTGAATTATTGTATTAACCTATGCAAAATGAATTAGAGAAGTAAATTGGTTGATATGTTAGTTAGTTTTGCTTAACTGATTTTTTTTTCCAATATTTTGTTATAGGGATGATTCTTTAAGTGGGAAAAGTACAATATGAGTTTACAGTCTACATTTGGCAATGAGATGATATAAAACAAAAGATATCAATAAAAATATTAATGTTTAAAAAAAGGGAAGTAAACCTGCACCTTTTGGGTCTAACGCAGTCCAAACCCAAAGATGTGATATCTGAATGATCTACTAACTATACCATTTCCCCTTTTAACATGAATAACCAACAGAACTATGTAACTTTAATGTAAAATCTAGTAATCATGTCTGGAGATGCCAAGGGCTTAGCAATAATTGTCTGCATATGGGAAAAGGTCTCAATTTGTCACATCATAAATTCATCGTATTGTTCTTCTTTCATGTGACAAGAATATGATGAGTACAAATGAAGCAGCAATTAAGAAAATATGTTGAGTTCTATCAGCTCACTCTGATTCTCTGGTTGAAAATATAATAGTGATTTTTTTTTCAAAGCCTTCATAGCCTTAGGGATGTAAGTCTCAGTCAACTTCATCAGGATTCAGGATGAGATCACTGCTTATTCCTACCATCCCATTTGTTACTGAGGACTTTACAGTTCTAACTTGCTCTACACAAGTCCATTAGTGGCCTGCATTTTTACAGGCACAGACCATGACAAATAAAACACTCTTTGGACACTGCAATGGGTGTCTCATCTACACAACATAAAATGCAATATTTATTCCTCCAAAAAACTTCACATTAAAATCTAGTGATTTTAAAAAATAACAGAATTTCACCAAAAGAACTCTGTAAGGCCATACAAATATGTGGTGCCTAAACCAACCTTCTCTTTTGAGGGGAAAAAGTAGAATTCTAAGTGTCAAGAAAAGGAAAAATGCAGAGTAATTCCTCACACATTTGGTTAAATGTACAGAGATATTATTTGTTTAGGTCATAGAACACTAGTAACATTCAGAAGAGCACAGAAATATATTAAAAAGGTAGAGAATACCTGTTTTCCAGAATCTGTGTCCAAAGAAACAAATGAAGAGACCAAGAATAGCAAAAATGGTGAAAAACACTTTGGTTGAAATCCTTCCTAGAAATAATTAAAATAAAATAAGAGTCATATTTGGTGGTCATCTAAAATGCTACCCAGGTTTAATTAACAACTAGAAGGGCCAAGAGTATAAAGTGACACAAAAATTTTGCTTTTCAATAAAAATCCTCATCCTACTATCTTTACTATAGGGATTTTTAAAAATGCCTTATACGAACTGACAAAGCTTGATGCTTTGAGGTCTTCTTAAACTCTGGTCCTTCTAGTGTTCACAGACCAAAAGGTCACAGGAAAAGAAAATGAACAGATTATATTAAATAGCTGCTACATCCACCTTTAGCACAAGAGCCCAGAGCTGAAATGTACTTTAGAGGGCAGGTCCAATCCCCATATAAACAGGAATTCCCTCTCCAGTCTACAGCATTCCGAAGTGGTCAGCCAGCTTTTGTCTAAAGACCTCCACCACATCCTAAGGCAGAACATTCCACTTGTACGTGGCTCTAATTGTCACCAAATTTTTCAAGCCTCTCTTCATCTCCTGTTCCTAATTCTGCCCACTGGGTCAAAGCACAGCAAACCGCTTATCCTTGTGACAGCTGAGAGAGTGAGCCTAATGCCAGCACTCTGTTAGTTCAGGTTAAATGTTGGAAGGAAATGAGGCTTGTGAAAGTCTGTGAACGGTTCATAAAAAGAGGTTTTATTTGCCCAAACACAGCAAAGACATTCAACAACAATGCTGTGGCATTCAGCTCAGCTGGATGCAGCCCCTCATCTCCATCCAGAAACACGTCTGGTCAGCAAGGCAGAATGTGGTACCATCAAGTCAGAAGTACCCTACTTTGCAGCTTGTCTATACCCTTTCTAAATTATAATCGTCAGAACTAAACACAATACTACAGATTAAAAGTCTGACCAGGCTGAAGAACAATGCAATTTCTGATGATTTTTCATGTTCTGAACGCTATGTCTTTAAACGCAGCCTGAGTTTTTATTAGGTTTTTTGGTCACATCTCACACTGTCATACAGAGCTTACAGTACACTATAATTTTAAATATTTCTCAGATGAACTGTTGTCAGACCACGTTCTAACCATCTCATACCTGAGTTAAAAAAAATTAACTTCATAAGCAAAGAATTTTACATGGATCCTTATTAAAGTTCATCTTATTTGATCTGAACCATGCCATTCTACAGGTCCACAAAATAGGCATTTAATTATATTTTTGGACTTGATGAAATCATTGCTTCAAAGCACAAATCCTGAAAGCATCTATTAATACACTGGAAGTCACAGTTCTAAAAATTAAAACCCATTTTGCTAATTGCACAACTTGCAGTAAAGAAAGTTTTTTTTTTTATGTCTTAACATAATTAATAATGAAGCATGGTAATTAAACATTTCCTGGTGTTGATGAAAACCTGATCCCATGACTCTTACTCTCAAATATACAGTCTAACAGCTTCTCAAGAGATAAAACTCCTCAATCAAAGCATACTATTTTTCACTTTCTTTATTTTTTTCATGATTTTTTTGGTCCACGTTTTCTTTCACAACATGAATAATATGGAAATATGTTTTACATGGCTGCACATGTATAAAACCAATATAAAATTGTTTATCGTCTCGGAGAGGGGAGAGAGGAAGGGAGAGAATCTGGAACTCAAAATTTTTAAAGATGAATGTTAAAAATTGTTTTTACGTGTTACATTTTTACATGTAACAATGTTTTACATTGGGGAAAAATAGGTATTATTCATAAAAAAGCGATAGAACTGCTCCCTCAATTTGCCACTGATGTGCTAGTAACTCTTGAGAGTCAAGTGAAAAATGAATGATCCTTTGATATATTTTTAAAACAGGGTCACCTATATTCCTCAAGTGTCATATTAAAATTCCTCACACTTTCACAAAACAAAACCAAAATACTATTTTGTCCCTCAAAGGTCTGTTTTTGTTGGGAATTGTTAGCAGCCTGACTGTTTAGAACAGGGGTGAGGAACGTGTGGCCTTCTAGGTCCTTGACTGCAGCCTTTTGATTGAGTCCAAGTTTTATAGAACAAATCCTTTAATTAAGGGGACTTGTTCTGTAAGTTTGGATTCAGTCAGACGGCTGTACTTGAGAACCTAAATGGCCACATGTGGCCTCAAGGCCCCAGGTTTCCCATCCCTGGTTTAGAAGCTTTCCTGTTTGATCATGATGGTGGTTATCAACCTACCAGTGGTGAGGAAAGACAGAGCTATGAGGTTACTTGCTGAGCCATCACACTTACCAATAAATCACAAATTGAGGGTACAGCAACTTTCTATTTAACCCATGATTCAAAACTATAGACCCTTTAAGGATAATTCAGTCCAACCTCCTTATTTAGCAGAGGAGGAAAAACTCAAAGGAATTAAGAGGGTTTCCCAAGGCCACACATCAAGGTAACATGAAAGGATTCCCCCGAGTTCCATGCTTCTATGAGATGCCTCCTTTCACCTCTGTTGCTGGTTTTCATAGTCTATTTCAATTGTTTTATCAAAGATACATTTTCTACTCATTTACTAATGTGGTCTGATATTGATAAAGTACTCAGAAAATTTCAAATGTTGATTGAGAAACTTTATCAGGGAAACCCAAGACCGTGAAATTGAAAGGAGTTCTGTCCTAACCCGAGCAAGAACATCAGACATCTATCTCCCTCTTCCTGCATATACTGTCAGACTCAATGTGTTGGTTAATTTTGTTTAATTTCTCTTTCTCTTTCTTATTCTTTGTTAGAGGGAGACAGCTCACTGAATAGGAAAAGAGGGGAAGGACTATTGCAAAACAGGAACATTGACACGATGTTGGTGAAGCTAGGAACTGGTCCTGCCATTCTGGAAAGCAATTTGGAACTATACCCCAAAATTTATAAAATTCTGTTTATCTTTTGATCCAGTGATACCAGTAATAGATCAATACCCCTAAAGAAATCAAAGAAAAAGAAAAATGGTTCATAGATAGAAAAACATTTATAGGAACTCTTTGCTGTGGTAAAAAAAAAAAAAAAAAAGAGGAAATGGGGATGGGTCCGGGAGGGGGAAGGAGTTAACTGGAAAATGGTTGAACAAGTTATGGTATATCAATGTGATGGAATACTATTGTACTGTAAGAAATGAGGAAGGGGATTGTTTCAGAGACATCAGAGAAGGCCTGTACAAACTGAAATAAAACAAAGAGAGCAGCAGAACCAGGCAATTTACCCCCTAGCAATAACATTGTAAAGACATAGCTTTGAAAGGCTTTAAGAACTCCGATAAAGGGGATGACCAACCACGATTCCAGAGAACTCAGGATGAAAAATGCTATCCACATCTTGACACAGAGGTGATAGACTCAAGGTACAGAATGAAAGATTTTTTTTTTTAGACATAGAAAATTCAGGAATTTGACTTGCTTAACTACCCATGTTTGTTAGAAGGGTTTTATTTGCTTTCTTTTTCAGGGGTTTGGGGGAGCAATGGGAAGAAGAGAAAATGGATTTTTTTCATTGAAAAAATATAAATTTAATTTTTAAAAATGATGAATCAAACATGTACCTCTCATTTGCAGATACATACCTTGAGTTTTTTTAGCTAATAGCTTCTAAAACCAAATATTGAAATTAGCTTAGAACCATGTGCACATACATAAATTAACAAATAAATGTACATGTATTTTTTTTAAATAAAGAAGAGAAAAGATAAATTTGGAAATGAAGGCAATTTTAAAAACAAAAGATATATAAAATTGTGGAAATTTTTTAAAAGCGAAATTTCTCTTTTCTCTAAGGTCCAGGTATTCTCTAGAGCATCTCAGGATGCTAGCAAAAAATATGGAAGAGAAATGATATATAGCCAAGGTAGAATACTCTGGGGGGGAAAGGAGGCAGGTCTTACTGGACCCAAAGGAAAGTGTTAAAGATTTAGAGCAGGGGTAGAGAACCTGCAACCTGGAGGCCACAGGTGACCTTCTAGATACTTGAGTGCGGCCCTTTGACTGAATCCAAACTTCACAGAACGAATTCCCTTAATAAAAGGATTTGTTCTGTAAAACTTGGACTCAGTCAAAAGGCCGTACCCACGGACTGAGAAGGTCACAAGTGACCTCGAGGCTACCGATTCCCCATTCCTGATTTAGAGTATGGTAATGGGTAAAGAAACATCTGCTGGGGAACAACACAGACAACAAAAATGAAAAAGATCACAAATTTTAGCTCATTGGGGCTAAAAATATAAAATGACAGCAGGAACACTGATAACCATATTGAAATTCCTTATTTGCCTAGACCAGTCTTTGGAGGCAAAGGGTTCTTTCTTTTTCAGATGAACAGATTAATGCACTCACCAAGAGAAGAACAATTATCGAGGGTTGTATTGAAGCGACAGGCATATGTGTGAGCAGGAACGTAAGCAGTTGATGTATTTAAAATGGGGTCCCGTACAATAACATTATAAATTACACCCTGTCCTGGGACAGATGAGAAGTAAGCAATGGTCTTATCACCAGATTTTAGGGTAGCAACCTGAAACAAAAAATGACAACTTAATTACTTTGTGCCCAAAACTAAACAGAAACTCTACTCAACATATCACAAGCTCAACATGCCCGTAGTAATAATATTTAAATGACAATCTGTTATATTTAAATGACAATTCATTGAAATCTTTTTCTACACAGCAGACACCAAACACTTTGGAGGGTAGAGCTTTTGCACCCCCCATTAGGAAGAAGACTTAACATGGCATCTTCAGAAGCCCTTCCACAGTTTTTAAACTTTCATAACCTAGGCTGTGGAAATGAAACAAAATCCACGAATGACATTTGAAGACAAACTGAATTGTCTTCTAGCTCACCTAGGCTTCCATTTTGTAACTGGGCAATTTACCTCCTCATCTCCAAGTTTTCATTTTTCCCTTGTCATAGGAGCTAAACAACACTGTTCACCACTAAATAACATGGTTCAACATTACACAACAACGTGCAATGCACTTGTCCTAAACTCAGATGCATCTGTTTTGAAATACCAATCATGAATTACTGCTTCTATCACACACACAACCACCTCTAGGGCAGTCTTATATGACACCACTAATACACAGATGTTTAACTGCTCTGAAGTTTAATCATTTGCCTTCTAGATGATTTCAAAGTTTTAAAGCCCTCCTGAATTAGAAACTAAACAGGGACACCTGCCTATCAATCACTCCCCTGATGTACACTTATTAAGCATCTATTGTGTGCCAAGCACTGTGCCTATGCACAAAGTATATCACTCTGAGGGTTAGGATTTTATCATTAAAGTTTCTGCAGCTCAATAAAACTTAAGAATTTATCTTGCCTGCAAAACTGAGATTATTCAGGCTCAAATACCAGTCCCCCATTCCTTACGTAAGTAGAAATAAGTGTTTCACATTTATGATGCTTGGCTTATTTTGAGCACACTATATTCCTCAAACTCAACCAAAGGCCGTTTGTGGGACTATTATGATGGTAGATAAATAATGCCCACATTTATCTTCTCTGTATCACTTCATCAGGTCATACCTGTTTTCAACTAATACTTATGCATTTTAAATAGGTCAATTTACAATATGAAAAACATCTTGGGATGGCATTAGTTAAGACTCCCCAAATGACAGCTCAGTACTTCAAGGAGTTAAAGTTTTGTAGGCAATATGTAATGAGTTTCTCAGAGATTAATTAGGCTGGACTTCAGACAAGGGACCAATAATCCTTTACTGAGCACATACTCACAGCCTTTCCATTTTGGTAAGATATACCCAATCCTGTCCTCCTCTGCTAATATGACCTTCTGGAACCTACTGTGACCTCCATGGCACAAGGAAGCATGAAAGTAAATCTTTCATGGAGTAGTTTCACAAGATTAGAAACCAAATAGAGTGAATTCATAACCCTAAAAGGGCTAACCTTATCTTCGTAGCATCTGAAAAGCTGCTTTTACTTTTTCTTTTTTCTTTGTTTTTTCTTCACTTTGCATCCCTCATACCATGCCACAAACTGGGCACCTGATTCTAAAGAAAAAGGTAAAGCATTCCTTTCTATACTTATTTTCACTGAATAGTATAAGTTGTTTTCTTGGTTCTGATCACTTCACTCTGTATACGTTCATACAAGTCTCCCCAGTTTTCTCTAAAAAGCATCCCCTTCATCAATTCTTACAGCTTGCTAACAATCCATTACAATTCATATATCAAAATCTGTTCAGTCATTTCCCAACTGATGAAATTCCCTCAGCTTTTCAGTTTTCTGCTATTAAAACTTTTCTATATATGGGTCCTTTTCTTCCTTGCTTGATCTCTTTGGGGTATCAAGGGTCTAGGAGTAGAATTAATGGATCAAAGAGAATGCCCAGTTTAGTGACTTTTAGGGCACAGTATCAAATTCTGTACTTACTTTGAAACCACTGGCTTCTACCTGAGACACCATAGACATCTTCTGCATGTGTCTTAGTAGCACCTCTTCAGTGAGATTGTTCTCAGGCAAAAAATACTGATAGATATCATACTGCAGTCTCCACCTGGAATCCAGACCAGTCCCCAGATCACAGGGCAGAGGATCTGTGCCTCTGAAATAAAACACAATTACACAGAAGCAAAAACACTCTTCCCTTATAACTTAAGTCTCAAATACAAGCAAAAACAGAAAACTAGCACTTAAAATAATTTTACAGACTTAAAAGGAAAAGCTTAAAATTACATTTAAATTGTAGAAAATTCACAGCCCCACTTTTCACACTAAGAAATGGTAAATTCCATTTCTCTGTTTAATGATCCATTCAATCCAACCCAACAAGCATTTATTAAACACCTATTATGTGTAAGAAAGCACTGTGCTAAGCAGGGGACACAGAGATAAAATGAAAACCAGGACTATTTCCGTATGTATAGGGCTTTTCTTCCTATCAATAACTTCCTTTGGAAAGTTAGAAGTTGAATCACTGAATCAAGGAATATATTTTTTTTTCAAATTTTTCTTGTATTATTCCATATGGCTTTTCAAAATGGTCAGACCAATTAACAGCTTTATCAGAAATGAATTATAGTCTAAGTTTGCTTTTTAAATCATGCTTATCTAACTTTTTTTTAAATTAGCAGACTTTGCATAATTACTATTTCATAATAGAATTTAAGAGTTGGTAATGCCCTTACTTCTTAACTGCTTTTTTGGCCAGTTTCCCTGTATATTCTTGACCTTATATTCCTTCACCAGAACTTTATTATTTCATCTAATTCTACAAAACATTTTCTTTCTATTTTCATTGGTATGATGGGCTTCCTGAGGAGTTTTGTAATACTGACTGTATTAGCACATCATAGCCAGGAATACTAAATAATTCTGTTATGCGTAGATCTTCCTTTTATTTCTGTAAAAACTGGTTGGTAGTTGTATTTAAACCCTTTATGTATCTTGCTAAAGTGAATAATCAGATATTTAACACCAAAATGTGTTATTTTAAAGGAAATTTACCCTTCTATCCATTTTACTGGTTAGAAGAACTATTAGAACTTATTTATATAAGCCATTCAAGTTTAAAACTGCACCAAGACTTTTGGGACTTGCTGGATAAAAACGCTGGTTATTTCTGTGGATTTATTTTCTATCCTGCTTCTTGGCTGAAGTTCTATTTTCTTAATTTGTGTTGATTCTCCAGTGTTTTCTAAATATACTATGACGCTAGGGCAGCTAGGTGGCACGGTGGATAGAGCACAGGCCCTGAAGTCAGGAGGACCTGAGTTCAAATCCAGCCTCAGATCAAACACTTGACACTTAATAGCTGTATGACTCTGGGCAAGTCACTTAACCTCAACTGCCTAAAAAAAAATAAATAAATAACATATATATATACACTATGATGCTATTCACAAATGAAGATGGCTCTTCTTTCCCAATTCTTGGCCCCTTAATTTCTTTCTCACTATACTGTTTATTCTTTTACCTCTACATTTATGCTTTCCATCTAAGCCCAAGGTTCCCAAACTTACTTGGCCTACCACCTCCTTTAAAAAAATTACTCAGCACCCCCCAGAAATCTACTTTCTTCAACCCTTTAATTTTTTTTTCAATTTGCATCATTTCAAAAAATATATAAATTTTTTAAATGACACATCTTAAATTTAATAATTTACTGCAAATTTGTGGGGTTTTTCCTGCATTGAAATTCTGATGATGCAATATTATGTCATGTAACTACAGCATCATATAGTAAACAAGTCATGACATGCACACATTCCTGCTGATGCATGATCCACTTCCGGACAACGTGCTACACACTCATCTGCCAACACCTGCTTGTTAAGGCCTGTCAGCAGACTTGACCACTGATCAGTTATAACTTGCATTTTGTGTGTTTATTTGGAAAATAATGTAATCATTACAACTTTAACTCTGATACACAACAGATGAAACACATACAAATGGTTTTTTAAAATTTTCTTCTCTTCTTTCCTTATGCCTCCACTCAACACTCCTCAATTGCACCTGAGGCTACCACCACCCCCTGGATCGGTCCAGCACCCCCAGAGGGCCATTCAGTTCCTCAAAGAATCTACTGATTTAGCTATGCCAAGTCATGTCAGTATCTTCCTGCCTTTCTTTCAGCAATTTTTAAAAGATATCTATTTTAATATATGCCAGATCCTCCTTCATTTCTCTTATGGATATTATTAACCGTAGTGGAGAGCTTTGTGGTAGATTTAGTTTTGCTTAGGGACATTTACCAGCCATAAATGTCGTTGTTACTGTTGTTCAGTCCAGTCCTACGCTTTGTGACCCCGTGGCCCATATCACACTAATAATATCTATCCTTCCCTCAATATCCCTTCGATAGATTTTATATTTTTTTGGTCTTTTTTATTTTTGTTGTTCAGTTGTTTCAGTCACACCCAACTCTTCATGACCCCATTTGGGGTTTTCTTGGCAAAGATACCAGAGTGGTTTGCCATTTCCTTGTCTAGCTCATTTTACACATGAAGGAAACTGAGGCAAATAGGGTTAAATAGCTAGTAGTGTCTGAGGCCACATTTGAAATCAGGTCTTCCTGACTCCAGGTCCATCACTCTCTACACTGTGTCACCTAACTGCCCAATATATTTTATCTTTAGAATCCCAGCAATTAGCAGAATCCCTGAAACATATAGTAGGTAATTAATAAATGTTTGTTAACTAAATGTATAAAGTTCAAATAGAGCTTGAGAATACCCCCTTTCTTTATGCCTTAACTATGATAATAATAATAGTTGTCATTTATAGAGCACTTTAAGGTTTGCAATGTGCTTTCCATATAAGTCATTTAATCTTGTTCAAATCTGGCCTCAGACAAGTGTCTAGCTATGTGATGCGGGGCAAGTCCTTTAATCCTATTTGCCTCAGTTTCCTCAACTGTAAAATGAGCTGGAGAAGGAAATGGCAAACCACTCCAGTATCTTTGCCAAGAAAACCCCAAATGAGGTCAAAAGAGTGAAATGACTGACCAACAAATAATTCTGTGGGGCAAGTGTTATTATTACTTCCATTTCACAAATCAGGAAACTGAGACAAAGAAAGGTTGAGTGACTTGCCCCAGGTCACAAGGCTAAGTGTCTGAAGAAGGATTCAAACTCAGGTCTTCCTGACTCCAAGTCTTCCACTCTAACCACTGAGCCACCTTTACATACAGATTTACAACACAGCAGGTTTCAATCTAAAAGAAACTTGGAGAGTTACACACACCTGGCATGTCCTAGATTTGCTGGGGCAAATTTGATAACTGTTTCATATAAATTATACTCCAAGTAAATGTTGGGATCCACGTCTAAATCAAACTCGAGATTACAGGCTCCAGGGATAGGATCTAGAAGCAAAATAAACAGTGAAGTTATGAGAGATCATGTCCCTCAAATCCTCCAACCATGTACAAGTGCAGACAAGCAAAGCTTACAACTTTTTACAGCCCAACATTCACCTCTCTGAAGGTCAATGTCCTTCAGATCTCAGTTATATGGTACACCAGCCACTGAGGGAAATTTATAAAAGGGAAAAGACGTGGGGAAAAAGAGGGAAGACCGAAAAACTTACTTCAAAGTAGGAAAACTCTATGATGGACAAGGGAGAAAGATATGTCTCTTAATATACAACTTCCAAGACAAGAACAAAAATGTAGAGTTGAACACTCACCAAGGGCTACTGGTGATTAGTTAAAGCCTGGACTAAAATTGGGGGTCATTCATTAAATCTAACAAGGCTAATAATGTAACAGATCTTCTTTATCCAATGAATACCACCCACAGGAAACTGTAGACAAGTGATCTCAAAGAGTCATCTTCAGGTTAAAGGCACTAACTGGGTTGCTAGAGGAGACCGTGTAGCTCAAACCAAGAGTTACCTTTTTCTGAATAAGAAAGTGGAATAGCCACACTCCAGACATTATCAGCATCAGAAGTCTCTAAGTACCAAGAACAAACACTCTGTTCTGGTCTAAGAATGGAAACTAGGCCTTTGCCCACACCTGTTCCTGAAGCATCTGGAAGAGGATTCTGGAAAAGAAAGGGAAAAAAAAAATCACCAGACAGCACCACCACCACCACAGACATACTGAATTAGGCAATGTTGACTACAAATATGATCCACTCTTATTGGACATTCCCCACAATGTTAACACTACAAGCTAGTGGCTGGATAACAACTGGAGACCTTATGAAATGCATCTCAACAAAGGCCACTATCAAAAGCATAAGGCAAGGGCCAGGTCAAAAAGAAAACTAAATTATGAAAGGCATTTATTTTTTATAAGATAAATTCCCCTAACAAATATTCTCTAAGGCAGAACCTGCTTCCATCAATATCAACCAATAAATCAATATTTATTAAGTGCTAACTATGTGCCAGTAGCCGTACTAAGAACTGGTGATACAGAAAGAAACAAAGTCCCAGCCCTTAAGGAGTTTACAATCTAATTGATTATCTAATGGATAATCTAATTTATCAACACTACTCACTCACTATGGTGAAATCTTGATTTTAAAAATAATAATAATCCAAAATTTAAAGAGTCCATCATTTAGAAGGGAGATTTAGTTTTATTAGCATACACAAGATATTTTCTAATAGATCCAAAGACAGAAATGAATTGAAACTGGGGGACCTCCTCATACAGACCTTGTAGAAAGAGACTGTTACGTTCTTGTACTGAGAATGCACTTGGAAGATAATAAATGTGACGTTGCTTGCAATATGACGCAATACAGCTTCTTCTGGAAAGGGCTTGTTGAGCATAAAGTATCTAAATTTCCCCAAAGAAAATTCAAGAAGACCTGAAATGGGAAGATTTTTCAAAAATTATTATTACATTTGCACTTCTACTATCAGGTGGTAAAAGTATCATGATAGGCATAACACTACACACACACACACGCACATACACATTATATATAAAAAAAATATATATATATGTATATATATATTCACCTTCCACAAGTTAAACAAATTATAATTTCTTGACCCAGTCCCTCCATAAAAGAAGACATACTGGAGAAAAGATTGAAGTCAAATCTTCTACCTCTAAATAATGCCCTCTAACATCATTCCTCTGTTTTAAAGTCGCTGGACCCTGAAACCTGGTCAAACAAGTATACCTATTATAAATAATTTTAGACTTACAGAACTTCCATGTCCTACTCACCTCAGTTTCTTTTTTCCCTTTTTCTTACTATACTCTTTCTTTCTCCTCTTCCTACCTTAACTGGTCAAAACATGGACTTGGAATATATGATATTTATTCAGTAAAACTTTAATATCTCTATTCATTCAACATTAGTTTTTAAAATTACTTCTTGTCCTCTATCCCCAAGAGAAATGAACATTCAAAAAAATATGAAAAAATTTTGAGAAAAAAATTTGCTTTTTTTTAAAAGGAAAAGGTAAGAAGGAAAAATGTTTTCCTGACTTTCTCTAGGTTTTAACCTCTCTAAATATATAAAGCACAATTATGTACAACATTTTCTAATCCAAATCACTTTATATCTATAAAATATGCATTTCAAAGTATTATGCATATTTTGGTTTCCTCAAGGAAGTTGAAATCTACAAAGGTGAAAAGACCTATAATTACTGTAACTTCAGATTTGATAAAATGAACAAATATAACTTTAACCAAAAAGATAATGCTTTCATTATCCATTCTAAGATTATAATGAATGGTTATGATGAATAATATAAAAATCAAGTTACAAGGAAAAGGCTAAGAAATAATAAGGTATCTCTTTTCTTTATTTTTGAGTAAACATCACTGCTTCTGAAACCACACTCTGACCCTTTGGGAAACAGGTCCAAGATACACCCCAGGGATCCTTCCTGTCTCACTTCTTTCCTGTTCCCTAATGCCTGAAGTAAATAAGTGAGAAGGTGATGGACACAGTCAGTACTGCAAAGAATCAATAGTGAGTTAGGTGGATGGGGGGGGGGGGGGGATGCAAATGAGGGGGGTTGGGTGAGTCAAAGGTGAGTGACTTAGTGAAAATTAAGGTTAGGGCCAGGAGCCCCAGCAGGTAATCAGGAACAGGGTGGGAATGAGTGTGACTAGATGGTGGGGCTGAGCTGTGCTCTGGGTCCCAGTGAGTCCCTTACAGTTTAGGCAGGATGAGAAAGCCTGGCCAAGTTTCTCTGAATGGAAAGAGGGTGCAAGCATATGGATGAATGGCAGAAGAAGGTGATGAGTAAATCACAAACGGTACTACTTGGACCATAGGCCTTGAGTGAGACCACCATGATGTAGGGTGAACATCTGTAGTACCATTGCTGGGCGACAGCCAGGAGGGGCAAAACATGAAATAAGGATGTAAAGGCTGGTTGCAGCCAGACTGTAGAATGCCATGAATGCCAGGCTGAGTTTTTATTCATCCTTGGGGCATCCAAGGACCCACTTGATCAGGGAGGTGACAGGTACAGACCTGTGCCTTAGGAAAATGGGAATGGACTGAAGGAGGTAGAAGAGGGACTGACTAGGCTATTACAGTTGTCCAGGCTAAGGGTAATGAGGGCCCTCAACTGGGGTAGGTGGGGTAGGTGGGGTGTGTGTGGGTGTGTGTGTGGGTGTGTGTGTGTATGTGTGTGCGCACGTGCCCTCTCTCGAACTCTCCCCAAAGCAAAGGAAGAATATAAAGCCAAGGGTGATGGGCGAGAAAATGTAAACAGCAATACAAATACCAAAGTTTGGGGTAGAAGCAAGTTTGCGGGAGATTACGAATTCAATTTTTATCATATTGATACTGGGATTAATTCACAAGCATGTATTAAGTACATGCTATGTGTCAGTCACTTTTTATAAAGAGACAAAAATAACACTACCTTCTCAACCTGGGGCAAGTTCTTTAACTTCCATACAGATATCAGTTTCCTTAACTATAAAAGGAACAGGTTGGATTCCATGGCCTTTGAGTTCCCTGGCAGCTCAGGATCTAGAAGCCTAAACAATCCCTGTTCAAAGAGCTTACACCAGGCGAGACAACACACACACAAAAACTATAGTCTCAGGGGAGGCCACTGAAGCAGGTATTTCATAAACAAACAAATTATATGCAAAGTAGTTTTTAAGAGGAGGCACAAGCAGTCAAGGTAGGTGAGAATTAGCACAGGCTTAATGTAGGAGGGGATGGCTTTTGAGCTGAGTTTTAAGGGAAACTAGGACTTCTTAGAGAAAGAGGTGCACAAGGGAGTGAATTCCAGCCGCAGAGACGTAGACATGGAAAACAATGTCATATGACTGGCGCCATATTGTGCCTTTTAAAATTAAAATGATGAAAATTTTTCAAAATATTTCAATCAAAAACATGCTCACAGTAGCAGAGTTCACAGAAAATGGAATGGTCAGGAAGAATAACAAGTTAAATAAAAAACAGTAAGCATAAATTGAAAATACTCCCAAAGTTTCTAGGAAGTAGAATTAGTTCTCTCCAGACTAAGACTGACTTTGCACATATTTGCGGAGAGGACTCATTTGAGGAAATGCCTTGTCATTTAATTATGATTTTGGTCCCTGAATGGCTAAACAGAAACCGAGGCATAGTGTTCTATCAAATCATTCGGGCTCAACAAAATAGGAGGTAATGAGCTGAACAGATAAAAGTGTTTTAAGAAAAAAAAAAATTCCATCAGCTGACCTCTTTTCAGGAAGCAAGTCAGTCTGACAGTTGGGATCTATATACCACTTCCTTTTTCTATTTACTGATTTCCTGAAGATGACCCAAAAAAGGGGCAGGGGAGCCTCATGTGCCTTGAGTGGCAAGAACCAAGTAAAAAGCATCCCACAAAATGACCACTCTTTGGGAAGCTACAGCCCAAGCCAGGAAGGAATAAAGGTGAAGCAAGAAGAAAAGCTACTCAGTGAATTTTACTTTTCTTTACCTTATAATCCTTGACTTCTCTCAATTTGCTTTTCATGGAAACGACCTTGGCAAGTTAAGACCCATCAGCAATTCCCACTGGACTCTTGACACAAAGCAGCACCAAGCTGAAAAAGTCTTACGAATGATTGCATATTTCACAACCATTAAACTGTCTGTGCTTTTGACGGTGTGTCACCCATATAGGAAGACCCAAAAAACTTGCTACCCAAGTCCTGGCACTGTGAAGTGGTTCAAGATCAGAAACTGATATGATTTTGTTGGAGGCAATGACATTAAAAAAAAGAAGCGCTGCCATCTGTTTTGCCACTTCACTCTAAGGACCATGGGACCCATCCATCTGACTAGTGGCTGAAATCTCCCATATGTTGTCTCCCCTATTAGAATGGGAGCATAGCATTATTTCCAATGTTTAGTACAGGGCTTTTGGACAGAGTAATTGCTCAATGAAAAACTGCAATTACAAAAAATTGGAAATACAAAAAAATTGGAAGCAGATACTAAAAAAAAAAAACTGGTCCCTGTGAAATAATACTATGCTATTAATTTCCACCCGTGGAGACAGGCTAGCGAAGGCAGACATCTGCCCTGAAGACAACACAGAGCGTGTAGAAATGGGACTAAACCTCACTCCTCTGAGCACATCTGAAAAAGCATACATGAAAAAGATTTCATGAGATTTAATTAGGTCTTAAGACTTTAGGAGTAGGAGGTAGAGAAAGAGGCAGAAGGTACATCAAACAGTATTTACAGAACGATTGTCCTGAGATTGAGTCCTGAGAATAGGCATAGTCTGAATCTTGCCTGTGATCAAGCAATAAATCTTAAAAAAATACTTCTAGCAAGTCTTCACAGGAATCTGATTCAGCAGGAAGAGGCTACTTTTCATTTAATGTCTAAGCTCAACTTTTAATCATCACTCATGGCTAATTTTTCTTTCCTCCAGTCCACAAATAAACAATGAAAACTAATCTACCTTTTTCTACCCCTATCGGACCCTAATTAGACCCTGAGACATTTCTAAATCCAGCTCATTATTTAGGGTTTCCTTATTCCTACCTCATTTTTTTCTGATTTTTTAAAAAAATTCTCTTCCACTTGATACTTATCCAGATGTTATTTAGACAGTGTGGTGTGGTGGAGGAGAGAGATGGCCTTCAAAAACAGCTTGGGGGAGCTCAGGCCTTGGAGTCAAGAGGACCTGAGTTCAAATCCAGCCTCAGACACTTGACACCTACTAGCTGCGTGACCCTGGCCAAGTCACTTAATCCTGACTACCTCACCAAAAAGCGAAAAAACAAAAAACAAAAAAAAAAACCAGTTTGGGAGTTCAGATCCAGCCTCTGAAACATACATTGTGTGTGTGTGTGTGTGTGTGTGTGTGTGTGTGTGTGTGTGACACAGACAGACAGACACCCCTAGGCAAGTCACAATATGTCAGCCCCCAGGAAATTCTGTTTATAAACTGCAAAACAGTTGCTGATCTGTATTGATAAAATAAGTTCCCTCACAAAGAGTTCTTTACACCAATGTTTTACACAGTTCTGAGGAAAAACAACAACAAAAAATTAATCTCAAATGATTAACGAAGACTGCAAATTAAGACAAAGAATTTACTTTCAACAAAGACAGGAAAATTGTCAATTAAAAAAACTGTCCTATTTTCTAACTTCCACTCAAACAAGAAGAAGAAAAGAAAAACAATCTTTGAGTTTATAGTCTAGAGGAGATAAAACACACAAGGCAAAAAATAGGATTTTTTCCCCAATTTTTAAGAAACCGAAGACAAAGACATTATTTTCAATTGGGGGAAAGGAGGCAATCCAGGAAGATGTCATGGAAGAAGTGGTGCCTGAGCTAAGGGGAATAAAAGAATAAACATTTACTAAGCACCTACCATTACGTGTCAGGCA